CAGGACATTCTACATAATTGATGAAGTTTCAAGAACAAAAGATAACTTTCCGAAACGTTAAAGTGTATTACGAAAAATACTCAAAAATACAATTAGATTGTTTATTAGTGGTATTGTTGTACTAAAAATCTATAAACAAAGCTTGTACCAAAACTAAAAATATAAGCAGTTAAGCATATAGTTTAGGCGGTCATTGGGTGATTTTTACAATGTTTCTTCTATAAAAATGTCAGAGTATTTTATGATCACATGTTCTTAGCTTAAAGATTTCCATATATGGACTGGATTAATGGTTTTCTCTCTCGAAGGTAGGCAGATGGTATGTTTGTTCATGTTCAAAACACTGAAATGTGAAAAAATTCTTCAGAAATAAGATTCAAAAACGTTTTTCTGATAACAGTACTTAGCGAAAAATGAACTTTAATGTGTTTTCATTAGACACAATTAAAACTGAAAAAGTATTGAATTCGAGGATTCATTTTTATCTAAGGATCAAAAAAGCTACCCCATCATGTCAGAAACCCACATAATTATACTGGGTCATTGTATAGTGTATGCTACTTATGCTTTCCGATATAAGTAGTTGGAAGTGGAATGTGCGCGAGTAGAAAACTGAGAAGTTCGAAATGAAGAGAATAGTGAAGGGACATGAAAGCACTCAAGATAATAAAAAGAGCAAAGGAACAATGAAGCTTGTAAGAGACAATTCAAAGACGATCTGCAAATGATGTATATGACGTATGATTTTCACATTTTATTACACCACTATGTGACTGTGCATTAAACAAGATTGGTCTTCTCCACTTGACTGTATGTTGACTGCAATGGTAAGAAATGGTATCAACTTATCACAAAATAAGTGTGAAACAGAGACACCTTGGATGACTTCAATAACTTTTAGATCGTATGTTAGGTATAAAAGTAGATCAAAGAAAAAGAGAGAACTTGTTATTTTTTTGCTGTTAAACTGCTTTCCTATTAGCATTTTTTAAAATCTAAAATCGTAACTAATCCCCTTTTTACTGTCGTTTTCATCATTTTTACTGGTATTATACAATAAAGGCTTTTTACCTTCTACACTCTTTCATCATTGTTAAGACAAATTGTTTTGACGTTTACTTTTATTTGCCTACTGAATTTACAATTAATATATTTTTGCGCTTAAATGTTGTTTTTGTAAATCATTATGACACCTTAATTCGGCTTGTTGAATTTGATAATTCGATATAATTTTAGCTTTCATTCTATGCGAAACGATGAAAATGATATATATGTATTTAGATAGATATATACGTGTATATTCCTCGCTTGATAAGTTTAAAACAAATCTATTCAACTCAATTTCCTCCTCATTCTTTAATACTATATTTGTTTGCATACTTTCTTTACGAAAAACATCGCAAAGAACTGGCATTATACTAATGTATATACACATTTATATTCATTTGTTTATGTAAAAGCATAATAAAAGCAAAAGATAAAACAAATAAACATAAATAAACGTCACTTATCTGACTCACCGTCTTCTATTTATGATAATAAGAACGAAATTAGTTCGTCTAAGTCGTTGTGATGTGATGTTTTTGAACATATAAAGAAATATGTATTCTAGAATCATCTATTGTCTAGAAAATCCTGTTGAAAATGCATATGAAGAGGAACGGTACGGTGTAAAAAAAGTTTATATTATTTTAAATCATCTGACAGACCAGAAACAAAACGAAAAAGCACCTTATACTACTATTGAAAGTCATGTTTATTGGATTAAATTCAAAAACCGTAATAGCTTTGTTTGAGATCGGAAATATACTACTTATAATAAAGTGTCATTCATCACAAAAGTATGTGTTTAGCTACTTTTATACCATTAATATGCATAAAACAACATATATGGTTTTCAATATCAAATCTTCGGAATTTACAACATGCTCCAACAGTGATATGATACAACGTTTACGGCTTTATAACTATGAAGGCTAAAGATGAAATTTATTTATATATTTTTTTAAGTATTTCGATTTACATATACTCGGTCTCATTAGGATATTCAAATCACAGATAAAATATACTCTTTTTTTAAAACACTAGGCTTTCTCATTTCACACTTATTCATCTACTATGATCGATCATCATCGTGGTTTGCTAATCAATGATGTCAATTTCTTAAAATCAGGTTTTTACTGCACTGATGTACGTGTTCGTTTAATAATTTGTGTGTTTTCATGACGCCTGACAATTAAACAGAAGGAATTTCGAAGCTTTAATTAAAACTTATTCAAATTACACTGGAGAAAGTTTCTTCTACAATGTACAAATAAATCATGAAGGTTAACTTACACCAATCATTTAAATAAAGTTTAAACATTGTTACTTTTAATTGTTCACTTGAGAGTCAGATTAAGTAACTTTTGGAATACAACCCTACAATATATTGACAGTGTACAGAAAGTTCATATTTGTCATTTGACAAATCACTTACTGATTTATATTTACATATTTCCAGGCTCCAATTATTTAAACAGCCATCAATCTTCGGATAAATCCAGTTTATTATTATTCATGTGTAAATTTGCTTTAAATCACACTTCTTTGAGTTGGAAGCGTGTAATTGATCCACTCATAACTTTTTACTGATTATCTCGTTTAGACTATAAGACTCAACTAGTTGGTCTTGAAATGAGCCCTTTGAAAAGCTATGGACATTAAGATTTAAAATAAATTTTGTATTAACATTGGTAAAACTTTTAGAATCGTAATATTTTCGAAGAATACAGGAATAACGAAGTTTGAAAATAACTTTTATGTTAATCGATGAAACAATGAACAACGAAAAATATGACTTTTTACTTCGCACTGATGCTGGTCACCATCAGATCTAGTAGCGGCTGTTAAAAATTCGGACCACTCGGTCGAAAATTCATGGACCCTATTATTAACTTCAGCCATCGTGTGATTCGATACAAGCAAACTAGAATTTTACCAAGTAATTTTACTCTCGAGATTCGATTTGGTTGAGTTCCGGATCAACTTATGATATTTGATGCAAAATGCGTAATGTAAATAGAGTTCACAGAAATGAACCTTTGGATTTATACAGAATTACTCATCTGTACTGTGTCTGCAGCAATGTTTGGTACTGATTTCTCATGGAGTCTTGAATGAAAATTCTTGGATAGTTCAATACCAAGATGAAACAGTTGTCTAGTGCTTCAAGTTTATACACACGCATTTCGGCGTAAATTTACACACATATCTAAGTTATTTTAATTTGAAAACTATTTAATGATTATCAGTATAACTGTCTCGATTAGGTTATTTAGTTATTATTTGAAGTTAGTTAAGAAAAACGATTCTCTGGTAGAAAATACATTTTATATTTTAAATAATCTTTTTATCTGTAGACTGCATTAATATATATATATGCTTATTTTGAATGAACCGTAATTAGCATTTAACCGTCATGGACAAATTTCTATCGAAACTTTTAACGTTCAGGTCTTGGCTTCTCAGTACTTCATACTTATGACTTTTAAGTAATAAATCGACCTCTGAAATGCTGTGGTGGGAGACTATTGAATAGTCTTAACTAAGTATAATATGTCGATCTAAGGCTAATTATTTTATAATAATTCTCAGATTGGTATTTTTTTCTGATATAGTTTCGTCATAAATGATTAATAAATATCTCGATCTATGGTATTGATTTCACACGTTCTAAAGTGGAGATTTTCCTACAGTCTACAGTAAAACATAGTCAACTTGAAGTGAATACTCAAAGAAATCAAGGTTACTTTTCCTCAGCATTAACTAAAAAATTCAATCCCATCTAATGGTAAAAACATGAATTAACTCATAAATCAATAAATACATTGTACTTATAACAACACTCCCTTTTAGTCTATCCATGTCACATTCTTGAATATGTAAATATCAACCAATTATTAAATAACAAACTAAAAGAATTGAAGTTTATAACTGAAAAACAAGCTCAATAATACATAGTTTCTTCTATATATATATATATATTTTAAATAATACAATGAGAATAATAAAGTCTATCAAAAATTATGTTATATATAAGCCTATTACATTTCAATATAATCTGACCACCTATTTACTTGTTCATGCTATTTATGTATAAAAAAGGTCAACTAAACAATGTGGAAGAGATGAGAAAAACAAACATCATAAACATCATATGTTTATATGACTAAAACTAATAAATTCAAATAGTCTTTCTGGATTACCTTAATCAGCTTTTGTAGTTTTGTATAGAAGATTAATTAGAAAATAATTTTGTAAATAAGAATATTCAGTAGTTAAAGAAAGAGAATAATTTGTTGAATAAAACAAAGAATTTAAAGTGATATTTACTAATGTATGAGCGAGGGTTATTCGTAAACGCTCGTAGTTCAAGTATGTTAAAGAACAATACAACCTGTCGACAAAACATGAATTGTCTGGTAAATAAACTAAACACTTATATACAATATATTTAAACAAAATAAACATGATTAAGATTCACCCCAAGAGGCAGTGATTATTATAAACTAATCTTTTATGTTATTCATGAGTCTACGAAATTAAATGATAATTAACAGGTTTTCTTATTGTTGGTCACATTGAAATCTTGAAGCATTTTTGACGAATATCAAGATTTAATTCAATTGTCAGATCCTTATAGTTAATATCTCAATAATTCGTAGACAGTTGACAAATTTCCAGTATCTACCAAGCGTTATTTTCCCATATTCATATAACTGATGAAGTTATAATTCATATACACAATTCATTTATGCTTTTATTGATCTCATGTGTCAAGACTTAGTTGCAGTCATATTTTTATGTTAAACTAGTTATTACTTTACAGGGTAACATGCATAAATCAAGGCAACTGAGTGGAATATATGAAAGCACTGTTGATAAACCCATAGTTCAACGAATTATTATCAGAGGTTTTCTTCATCTAATCATCTGTCTGATTTTTGAATCCATTTCAGAAACGTACAACATTCATATTCGATAAAAAAAGGTTGGATCGAATCAATAAAAATCGGCGACAAGATTTAATCTTGCAAACATTACGGAATGATTTGATAAATTTAAACAAACTGAAACATCCACGTTTTATACAACTAATACATGATATTGAAGAAACTAAGTAAGCAAAACAGAAATTAGTATATTTGTCAGTTTGGTTATGGTTTCGCTTCTTTTCTTTTTTGTGGGAAATTTGAAAAAAAGAGCCATAAATTCAAAATATCAAACATCATTCTATTTATTTGAATTTAATTTGTTTTGTCTAGATTATTTTTTGTCAAAATAATCATACTTTATGCGACTAATTTAATTACATGTGTACATGAAATTTATGTCTAGATAAAACAAATCGTTGTGACTAACCACCATCTCATTCCTTTTTCGTCAAAGTTCATAATTTTTTTGCTTTCCTGAATTAATAGGTTTACAGTATAAAAATAGAGTAATTATATTTTTATGGAAAATAAATTAGATGCGAATTCAAAGTTTTACATTGATGAAAGCCGAGAGTAAAACGCTTTTTTTAAAAAATAAAAATTATTGTGATTTGACGGATTAATAGGATCTATGAAGAAACGTTCTTTTTCCTTGTATAACTGGAATTCCTTATTTAATAATATCCTACTAGTATTAACTTCGGTCACTCAAAATAATAGATAGTATAATATAAAGTTTGATAGTGATGTGCCTACAGTGCAACTTTATATTTAGAAACCATACGAATCAAGTGAGAAAAAAAATTAACTTATATACAATAATTCAAGCACCTAAAACAAATAAAAAAGTGTAAAATTCACTTGATGTTTTTTGTTTTTATCCATCCATTGTTGTTTCAAGACAGCAATTGATCAGTTACATGTTGGTATATGTGCATCCTGTGCGAAATGCCTCGATATTCCCTCAATTTACAAGCTTTATAAGCAAAGATGGATAGTGGCTAGCAAAGAAATGCAGGATGCATGTTTCGTGCTATTTGACGCTGGTCAGCTGGATGTACCTGCATCTGACAGTTGATGTTCACTGTGGCACTCGAACCCAGTACAGTACCGTTCGCTTCAAACGCCATCGCGTTATCCACTCACCTACTGAGTGCTGATAGCCACCTGCTTGTGCAATGTGGTCAAGTTGTATTGACTCGGTGTTGTTTACTTGTATGTTCGCATTGTTATTGATGATTAGTGCAATTGATCAGTGTGTTGTTGGCATATGTGCATGGTGTGCGGACTGCCTCGATATTGTGTGAATTGACAAGTTGTATAAGCAAAGATGGGTAGTGGGTAGGAGTGGAATGCAGGACGCGCGTTTCGTGCTATTTGTCAATGGTCAGCTGGATGTACCTGCATCTGACAGTTGATGTTCACAACAGAGAATAATTTCTATGTTGTTTACAATTTACATGATGGGTTAATTTTAACTGATTAAAATATCGATTAATTTATAACTTGGTGAAAGAAATCAATTTACTTGTAGTAAAAGTATCAAGAAAAGCGTTGCTATCAACATAAATATCTGATACTCATATCGTTTGCTAAATCTCCTCAGTATTCAACCGCCTTGAAAAAACAAGTATATTAAGTATAAATGCACTAAAATATCAATGATGATTTCTGTTTTCATTTTGCTGCGCTAAATATTCTTTAAACAAGCTTAAATTTGGTTAGGAAAATTAAAAACTTTCACACAATACTACTGTACAACAGAAAACATAGATTTTAAACAATATTTGATTGGACTACAAGTACCATACATTTATCAAGGAATCATAGTATATTTCATTTAGTAAGAATATACAAAACTGTCAAACCTATATAAACTAAACAATAATTCCAATGTTCATTGTACTATATTGAGTGCGGAGACACAATAGGTTCTAAAAGATTTTGAAATGAAGTTTAGATACAAAACAAAACAAAAATTATTGAAAGAACATTCACAAATAACTGAGCCGCAAACAACTTTTCTAATTACTTACTTTTATGATTAGTTTAGGTAATTCCAGTTTTTAGTGTTCTAGACAATGAGGTGAGAAATACGTATATCTTTGAAAGCTTGTTGGGGACGATATATCCCCAAAACTTACATTTGTAATTTTATCATATCGACTAACTTATCGATTAAACGATTGAATACCAGTCAATTGACGAACTTGTCGATTAAATATTTGAATACCTGTCGATTGATGAACTTATTGATTAATGTTTAAAAACATTTTACTATGACAATATCGATTGTAAATATTTGTATAAATACGCTTGACTTGTGTCCTTGACCTGACCTGACCTGACCTGATATCTGCTGTTTGCCTGTAGAATACACTTTCTACGCCTTACCAAGACTTCTTGATCGCGTTAGCTGAGTCGGGGACAACGGACCAGAATTGTCTATCGAGATTCTGAGTCCCTTGATCCGACCGACAAGTCACTGTCCTATAATCGGCGGCCCCCTTTGAGTTATAACAAGGCTGTAAAAAGCACAGGAGTTTTGAATATCTTGGGTGATTCTCATGCTAATAAGTAAATAAACGTTTCATGAATTTCACTGGTTGAAATCATGAGTCAGTTGAAGCTAGACCACCATGGAAAACCTGGAAGCACTGGATGGCCGTTTCGTCCTATTGTGGGACTCCTCAGCTGTGCGCATCCACGGTCCTGCGCCCCGCGAGATTCGGACCCAGGATATTTCAGTCTCGCGCTAGGCTCTTAACTATGAATTATGAAGTCTAGAAAAATTATTGTGTTTTAGTAAGCAATTCAATTAATATTATAGTTGTGTAGAAATTATGCATCTAGACAATTGAATTGAGATTAGATTGTAGCTCACCAATTTTTTCCTAGTCATAGAAAACATTAGAACGTCATAGACTACTATTAAATACAAAACTATGGTCACTGGCTGAAATCCTTACATGTTTTCTTTTAATTTACATACGAGCTCCAACTGCTTTTAAAAGTACGAAAGAATAAAATAAATGACCATAGTTGATTTTGCTCTATTCATTACATAACAACTACTGTAAAATAATAACGCTGTAGTATTATCAAAGTTAATAAATGATTAATTTCAGTGATTCAGTTCAGTCACAAAAAGTGGACAAAAACGTGATCGTTAGTGCTATATAAAAACAATATTTTTAAAATCCATACAGTCTCTTTAAGTGATTCGAAAGGGTGGTGGTATAACAATTCAGTGGTTTATTTTTGGTTTAGTCACATTATACTCACTTCCAAAATTGATACATGTGACTTTGTCTCTGGACCTGGAAACACTGTAAAGCTGATGGGTGAACACGTTTGCTGAGATTTAATTCAGCCCAAAATGTCACACTATTATTTTAAAGAATATGTTGTAATTAATATTTCTGTTACACATTTTAAAAAGTATATTTTTGTACGGAACTGAAAGGTAGTTTCTTTTAGTTTGCGCTAACAAAGATGGCACAGTAATATTTATTTAGGGGATTTTTCGAGATGCATATCAGATAGTGGAATAGGTTTAATTCATAAGACAAGTTTATTCAAAGTATACTATAAATAACTCAAGGGTACAAATCATAATATAAACGAAGAATAAATGAATTACTTAAACAAACAGTGAGCAACCCTACTTTGTAAATTTCAAAAGCAAAAAACTAGTAATCATCCAAATAATCTAGTTTACAAAAATAAGACATCTAACATGAAATAGTCAGTTTTTCTCGCAATTCATCGATTACTAAATTAGCATTAGTATGTGTTTTTAGCTAAAATGATAACAATAATCAGCCTTACAGGTTTTCTTCTCCTACTAAAAGGCAATTATTTCAACAAACATCAATGCAATCAACTAGTAGAAATGTTCCTTCTACAATGGATTAGATTATTGCTTGTAAGGTCCACATGAATGTAAATAAAATCGTTCAGGTTTTTCAACTATAAAAAAAATTCTACTTCTCAGAAAGTAAATGGCCTATTGAAGTCAATATTCAGTTGATTAAACAAAATAGATCGCATAGTCAGTCCAACCGAACCTCTCAACATAGAATTACATAAATGCAAAATCAATATTTACTGCACTATTTAGTTTAAACAAGCATCATAAAGACAAAGTTTTATATCAGACAGGTTTTGTGGATATTATAGTAATTTCAGTGGTTAAGATCATGAGTCAGTTGAAGCTAGACCACTATGGAAAACCTGGAAGCACTGGACGGCCGTTTCGTCCTATTGTGGGACTCCTCAGCAGTGCGCATTTACGATCTTGCCCCCTGCTGGTATCGCGCTAGTGAATGGCTTCAGGTCTGCTGTGAGATAGTAACTCACTGAAGACAATGGTGGATGTGTCGCTCAATTTCGTGGATTGGTTGAAGTTAGACATTAACACCGTTGGATGCCGGCTCAGTGGTCTAGGGGTTAAGCGCTCGCACGCAAGACTGATAGGTCCTGGATTCGAATTCCGAGGGTGGGATCGTGGATGCATACTGTTGAGGAGTACCACAATAGGACGAAACGGCCGTCCAGTGCTTCCAGGTTTTCCATGGTGGTTTAGCTTCAAATGACTCATGATCTTAACCATTGAAACAAAGTGTTACGTTTAGTTTATTCACAATTATAAAATAAATTTTTATATCACAATAGATTTTGTTTGAATCTCTGCTTATTTGATTCTTACTTTTGTTTCATTTCCAGTGAATATCTCACTTTTATAACTGAGCCAGTAATAGGAAGTTTAGCAGACATGTACATAAATGATCAGGTACGTTTAAAATATATGACATTACCATTTTCACACTAATTCGAACATATTTTTTCTCGTCTAGAAAAATGACTAATTAAATCATGTGTTAAGCTCAAAAAAAATTGATTGGAAAAAATCGATTTTAGAAAATGAAAAACCGACTAAAAGACTTGGTATTAGAGTTGAGTACTTGTATGTCAACAAAGTGCCCACTGTTATAGTCTTTTTAAAGTGAAGGATTCACGTCACTGTTTATTTTATTTTAGTAACATCAATATATTGTATTGAAAAATAATTCATTTCAAGGTCGTAATAAGTTTACCACTGACTGATAGCTGTATTACCAGTCTTAAAATATAGATAAGCGTTGAAATTACAAACCTCTAGTAAATATCATAAGCCATCGAAAAATCGTATATACTGCCAGATGTTTACGATTATTAATAAGAGAGAACAGAGAATATTATGTTCCTTGTCTATAATTAATAACTAGATATTCTCCATAATGAATTAACAACTCCTATTCATAATTCATCAATTTATTCATAAGAACAATCATTTCAATCAAATGACTGATATTTTCAATTTCCTTATTAAAATATTTTTCAGTGAGTAAATGACCTCTTAAAATAATTTTAACTAATTAAATGGATTATTGGAACTTTATAAAATAAGGATTAACATTGTTATACAAGAAACATTATTGATCAAGTGGTTGTTTGAAGAAAAAATATACACTGTAGTATAAGAAAGAAATGAATGCAAGTATCTGAAATGGCTGTCTACTATTTTTCTGAGATTAGGTTTAAATTAATGAAACCATAATAACATCTAATTGACGATATATGAAGAAGAAAAGAAAGGATCTGTTAAACTAACGGTTTCAATTTATTTCAAAGGAAATTTCGCCTAAATAATCTAACTATTATATGTGAAAATTATATCTGAAATAACCCCAGCGATTGAACTTCAAATAATTCCAACGTTTCGTCCGGCTAACTTGTCTGGACTTCTTCAGGGTAGTAACCAAAACAAAACGTTGGAATTATTTAAATTTCAATCGTTGAGATTATTTCAAATATAATTTTCACATATAATAACTTCTCTTTACTCGGCGCTCAATTTCTGTCAAACTGTTCGTTTTAATCTTGACAAATATTCGTATAAATCTAACTATTGTTTAAATTTATAGTATTCCATGAAAAATAATAACATACCAACTATTTAGTACATTGATAAACTTGAATTTGTTATACAGTTCCAATTATCTGTCTTACCTTTATTTTTTAATAGGATTCGTCTTTTTGTGAATTAGAGATTATATTTGGAATATATCAGGTAATTTGATTCAACATAGATTATATCATTTCATATACTTTTACGTATGATTTTTAAAATATCACAATAATGAGGACTAAATTTTAGAGTTCGTGTATAATATCCTAACGAGTTTATTAATAACAGTATATTTTATTAAGAAAGATTGTGAAATTAGACAAGTTCTCGATAACGGAATGACGAAATATTTAATTTATGCTCAAGATATATAGAATGTAATTCTTCTTTAAACTAGTCTAAGCTTTTAAAAATCATGTACCATTCAGGAACACCAGATGTGTGTGACAGAACAATAGTACCATCTCTAATTAATATCTGAAATCAAGTTGTTTTTTGCCTAAATTTTCGTCTGATGGTACTATTAAAGGTTTCTTTTGCATTTAAAGCACATAGTATATATAAACTAAATTGTGAACAGTGTGCTCAATATTGTCACTTGTTGACTAAAGTCACTGACATTTTAGTTGCTTTGATGCCCCTAGTATTGTTAACTAACAGAATGTTTACTGTAGTTGAAATGTCGTACCTGATTTGTTGAACATTGGTTTTTAGATTTTCAGATTTTTTATATTTTGGTTGAGCTTAATAGCTTAATATTGTCACTAGTTGTGTCTCATTAGTTTACTGAAATTTGACCTTTATTTTAATTCCAAGGTTGCAATTCATTATTTCGCTTTTATATTTTCTGTCATAAAATAAAAGATCTATGAAGAAGTATTTTCCTTGTGCCCCGTTTGAATTGATGATAATCTGAAGTGCGAAACAGTTGATTATTATTATGCGAGATTATTATTTCAAGATACAAGATGGTTGAAAGTCGTTTGGAAAAATCCCTGGACCTTGGTTCATGATAGTAGGCACGCGTCCGCAGGGTACATCTGTAATCTTGAGGTCATTAATGCTCCCTGACACATTCAATCCTTGTCACCCAGCTTCAGAGCCAGAGGGATTACCACTGAACTACTTAGACCGTAACTAACCTATGATAAGACTCGGATGCACATACAGTTGATCGACCCCTGAGTGGTGCGCACATCAAAACATGACTAACAGCAATCCGTCGGTATTAAGACGAACTTGATGTACACTAAATCAATCTCTACTCAGCGAACAATCACTTGAAAATTCGAGATACATTCTTCGTTTTGATTATCCGATTTTAATATTTGCTCGCTAATTCTATTTGTCATATACCGTAACATTTAAAGACCTTTACAAATTCACCTAACTACTTAAAAAATTTTTTAGAAATTGATAACTTTATACAGTATGACATTTTGATATACCTTAATCCCATTGGAATGAAATATACAAGAATAATGTCAGTACTCCAAAACTCATTCTATACCAATAGAATGAGACTGACTAATTTTCACTAATGCATACAAAATACTTACAATTTTAGTTAGAAACCTTTCCGAAGTAGCTTTCCGATGAAGCTTTGGAGAAAACTCCCTTACATCAAGTAATGACAAGTTTTTGTATGATGAAATAAAAATAAAATAGGGATATAATTCATTTGTTGACAAGGTACGGTACACAATTTTTTCAGTCACAACTATAGTTAATGTAAGGTCTCAATAATGAATGTTGTTCATGAATATTTCTTTTTCAATAAAACAATGAAATGTTAGTAAGACAGAAAGTTCTACTTTCATGATTACGGTGTACAAAGCATGACAAAAAGGCGGTATATTGACCGGTATGATATATATTCATTTATAGTTCATTAACTTTCACATAATAATCCAAAAATGAGTGTATTGAGAACAATGCTGAGTCGTAACATGAAATTTACTCAAAACGTTCGTAACTATGGGAGAGTAGAAATGAAGAAAATGTAGTGCATTTTGGTTATGGCAGGATTTGTTTCCGGTCATATTCAGAGGTTATTGTAACTAAATAACCTATTTAAAAGAGAGAACTACGCCATAAACCGTCTTTATCATCCCTATGTTATTTAGTTTTAATACATCAAGTAAACAGCTATTCACACTAATCTAAGATACTCACATTAGTTATCTTTGTTGCCTTCATTAGTTTTCATTACGCTCTAAGGCAAATATCAAAAATACAATAAGTGATGTTCCTTGTGTTTCTTAACACAACTTATTTACATTTCTTTAGAGACATTAGCTTTCTGTGTTCTTTCTACGTAATACACTTCACACCTCCCTCTTCTTAATATTCACCTCACAGACTGTTTATTTGACCGGTCATCCTACTACATGAATTCAAAAGCTACAGAATTTAAAGACGATGTCTATTCAACAAGTCACAATATTCGACCATTGAGTCGCGGACATATGAATGCATTCGCTGAAGCACTTATCAATCATATGATAATAACCATACTTTTTTCATGGATGGATGAATCGATTTCTTTTCTAGCATACTCCGCTAGAGCAACCTCTCCGTTATTTGACAAAGACTTTGAAGTGTAGTATACATTGACCTGCTTTCATGCAAACCACTATACAATTGAATTACTGAATTTGATCGGTTATTTAAAATTTGCACAATTTATAATTACCGTCATAAAAATCAAAATTGATGTAAGTTGTGTTGTGTCTTAAGAATAAGTGAACAGTAAGACTAAGAAATTATTTTAGTATAACTTGGATGATATCTTGGTTCATCAATATAAAGTTGGTACTATTCTTGCCGTCCCATTGGATAAAAGACAACTCTGCCATTGGATTCTTTGGACGTCATCACATAAAGTTTTTTAAATTTTTTATTTGCATAGACTACTCATTGGTTTAAGTATAATTTCCCTATCGACTCCAGTGACTTAAACACGGTTGGATAATGCAGTTGAAGTACTAAAACGTTACAGCTCTAAACTAGACGAATTTATAAATCTCATTCATCACATATTAGTACTTATATTAATCGTCATAGAGTATCATACTTATTGTAAGTACAACACTATCGACTGCAAAACTTATTCTGTTCATTACATCCTGAGACATGTATAATAAAATAAATAGGAATTAAGTTAAACGATTACATAGCAACTTATTATCATTTCTTTTCATCTAGATTACAGACGCACTAAGATATCTTCATAGTACCCAAGAATTAATGCATTGTAACATAAATACGGCGTCAATCTTGTTGGTTAACAAAAGTATATGGAAATTGGGTGGATTGAATTTTCTAGAAAAGATTGTTGACACCACAAAGGTAATTTGAATCACTGTATTAAAAATAAGTTTGATGACTGATCTTTTTACAATGTTAAATTATATAAAATGCTTCATGTCAATATCCTATATAACACATTGATAATCGGAAAAAGAGGTTCAAATAATTACACCGAAATTTCAAATCATTAGGTAGATGGTATCATCAGGTAGATTGAGTATCGAATTTCTTAAACATATATCGGCCTAAGTAAAATAAATGAATTAGTTAGATTTACTGTGACAAATCTTTTAGGCAGAAGAATATGATATTTATCATCAAAAATTGTTCTATCATCTTTGTGGTTTCCAAAGATCATTGTTCAAAAGAGGGAAGTCAAATTGCTAAAGAATTTAAGACACATATCTTTGATACAAAATATAAAAAAACCTACTGCATCAACTATTCCCAAAGTAACTTTATTCTCCCATTTGTTTCCAGTCGAGCTAGGCAATATTCGATCACGTTTATTCAAATCCAGTTGATCATCTGAATTCATAATTCATAGTGGAATCAAAATGCAAGCATAAATTTAAAAAAAACAGGGATTGTACATTGAATACAAATAGATGCTCAATGCTTTTTAACATAAAGTTATTTGGTTTACCATTATACATTGTTTTCAAGCACACAAATTACTGTTGTTATTGTTGTATGTTTATTTTCAACCTTATTTTGAAGTCTCCTAAGTGAATAAAATTTTATTTGGCACTGTCTTAATAGTAACAAAATAAAGAGGAGAAAGGTAAACTTCAACACATTATCAAAATAAAATATAGCGTAACGCTTTTATCAATGACATCATTCATTGCACAAATGAATTTTCAGGAAACAATTTAAGAAATTATGTACCGTTTGCAAAGAGTGTAAGGCGGTACATAAATAGCTATTGTCACAGTGATTACATACAATTTTACTAAAAAAGAACCACACCAGATTCCTTGATTTCGACTATTGGTATAATAATTCATGATGCCTACCTGTGGATTTCTGCAATTTTATGAACGTTACTTTGGATTGTATAACACTAATTAGTACAATATTCAATGACATTATATTGCGAAGAAAATGTCGACTATTTATGAGCTATTCTCAACCACATTCTGTTAAAAACGGATAAGTGCCAACTAATCTTGTTCAGAAAATCATTGGTAACAATTTGCATTTCTTACTCCTTCATGGTTATGGTGTTTTATTTCGCTTGGCATACTCATTCAGTTTGGTTGATAAGCCTACTGGTCAACATCCGTTTATGCAAGCCCTAACCCTGATCAGAAAGATTTGCAACTGTAGTAATATATCTTAAGTATGAATTAATAAAAACCGCTTCATCATTGATAAACAGAAATGTAATTAAAAGTTAACACGAAACTACTACTTTTACTCAAGCATAATAAATCATTAAAATTGATTTTCATCTAAAAAAAATAAAAACTAACAACTTCGTTGAAAAGTAGGTAACAACAAACTTTGGAAAAATGTTTTGCGACATATTTTTTTTTAAAAAAAAATTACCATCAGTAGTAAACATAGAATACAACCCAGTAAAACTTTAAACATCAATTTCTAAAATATACTTTAGTGTTTGTTTCAGTTGGATTCTGACAAGAAGAATAGATCGTCATCTTGTCATTTATAAATAACTTCTAAAACAATAATAGATTGTTCATTTTCGAAATGATTGAAAATCTGACTATTTCAACTAAGTGATTAGTCAGAGTTTTCATAATAATAATAATAATAAGTAACTTCCGGTTGAAGTGTTCATTTGTCTTGCTTGGATTAAAAAACTTTTGACAACTTTATTGTATCGCGAACAAAGCATCAAGAATCAGTGAAGTTAAATAATGCGTCCCCAAAGGAATTCCTCAAAATCTTTATTCCGTTATTTAAATATAACCTTCTCAGAACTCATGGATAAATGTCAAATTGTCTCTTAAAATCATTTGGTCTTTATTGATGAGTTTATTCTCTGAGTGAGCATTTAGCTCACAAAAAGCAATACACTGTTGAAATGATCTTATTGATTCATCTGCAACGGATGTCAATCAGTAACTGAATACCTTCATGGCAACACTAAGTGCTGTCGATTTAATCTTTTAGGCTGCTATGAAATTTAAAATGTTTTAAAACCTATGTATTCACATACATCGAAGTCAATAAAAGTTAGGATTCATTAGTTGGTGCATCAAACATGCACGTGGACCTTCTCACTTTCTAGAGCCACCAGTTTTCGTAGCCTGAACTGACATCAATTTTTGCATTATTTATAAAAACCTGTAAGCTTATCAAGTATGTTTGATTGAGCTTTCATAAAATGTTAAGAACACATTTCGAACATAAAAAGTAACACCACAGGAACAGTGTACTTTCCTCCTCCTCTGGTGAATGAATAATACAGTATTCAGAATCACAGGAACAAACATGAACGTAAACATTTACAAATGGATGTGATTTGGCTACTGATCAATATTTGAAACGTTTTTATACGTATTTTTTAAATATCCTGCAGTTACATAATTAAAGAAAAGAACTTATTGCTATGACTGTCCAATTTCAATGCTTAGGATTCTTAATTGTACTCAAACATGGACAAGTATCATCAATATTATATATAATATATATATCCAAGATGTAGAAAGGCATGTCATTTGGAATCTTATCTTCATAACAAATAATATAATCTAGTCATTTTCTATAATCTACGTTAACACAGTAAAAAGCTTTCTAGTGAAAAATAATTTAAGTTCTTAACGTCAAAATTGAGTGAACAAAAAACTTATATTAGTATACGGTTATGGAGATTATTGAGTTTTTGTTTAAATCACGAAGCGATAAATGTTAAACCACCATTCAAAAAAAGTGAAAGCACGAGAACGCCACTTCGTCCTAGTGTCGGACTCCTTAGCAGGGCCCATCCACGATTCCGCACACTGTACTTGAACCCAGGACCTTCGGCTTGACGCACATTCACCTGACCACTAGACTACTAGGCTGGCACCTGAGTTGTCTAGGATTAAGTCTCAATAAGTACTCGCTACCAATACCTCGTTTCGACACTATTTTTCCTAGCATAATTTGTGAAAGTAATTTAGCAAACATATCGAATCCTTATTCAGCTAAATTAATTGTTGAACTAATGGCTAAACAATGCGTACACTCGTAGATTGAATTCGTCACTTATATTTAAGTCAATTCGAGTCAATTTTATTTGAGTAATGATTGAAAACTTGAAAGCACCGGGCATTTTTTCGCCCTATTAAGAGACTTTTTAACAGTAAACATTCACTATCCAACGTATGATCTTGCAAATTACAGTTGACCATTAGAACCATTTAGCTGGCTTGCAATCACAGTCCCGTTGATAACAACTGTGACACGTCCGACATGTTGCAACTGGAAAAGTTCATATTTATCATCAAAAGTAAAGAGTGATCACATAAAATTGTATAAATATATAATTTAAAGTTCAGAAGTATGATTGCATTAGTAATATTTTGGAAGCGATACTGTCGTATCAAAATAACTAAACAAAAGAAAAGACTGTTGATTTGCTTACAAATCAGTAATCAGTACAGAAACAGTCCAAGTAAAATTCTTATACATCTGATTGTTCACTAAACTTCACTTAATAATAATAATAATAATCGCCAATTAGAAATACAGATGATAATGCACCTACAGAATATTAATAAACACAAATCAGTTAACATGTGAAAATTGACTGAAGTTCCTTAACTCAGCGTTTGAAAATTAAGAACTGAGAATTGAGGCTGAAAATATAGTTGTTGCTGGCAGAGAAACGAGTCGTAAGTCATCCATAAAAAAATCAGTTTTCAAATTTACTTTTAAATATTTTTTGAATTAATCAATGATTTGTGAACATTATGATACGTCTTCTTTATAGATAACTCCAAAGTTTACTGGATGTTCAGTAAAAGTACCAGTGCTTGCTCAACCAGATTTAGATTTTATTGCTCCAGAAGCTCAGATGTATAATTCCATGTCACCGCTTGCCGACATGTTTTCCTTAGGAATGGTAGTTTGTGCTATTCATAATCAGGGACATTCTTTGATTGACTCAGAGCAAAATCCAAATATTTATGTTAAACAATTGCCTGAAGTAAGTTAGATTTAAATCGAGTGTATACGTCTATTTTTTTAGCATAACGGCCCATCTTTGACAGTTACTAATAAAAAATAGTCATTCTTTTAAATATTTGTTCTCTTTCCTAACATAACCTTATTACTACAAAATAATACTTCTATTTGTTATCCTCGTATGGTTATGAAATGAAGTGAAGATATGTTAGGCTCAAATATAATGCTTGAGTGGTGTACTGTTCTCTGAGCTCATTTTTCCCTATTCCGCAGGCTTCACTGGTTTTTTTGACAACGTCATCAGAACTTTCCTTATAGGAAAATAGCTATTTATTTCTGATTTCATAAGCAGCAAGTCAGTTCACGTAGGAATTTTATGTTAAGACAGAATTACTAACTCCAAATATATATAAACATAAATGACTAAATGATTTTTATGAACTAAAACCTTGAATGAAAATCCTTCTTTTGAAAGTAAAGTGTAAAACAGCTAGTTTTTTTCAGTATGAAGTTGTCAATATTGTTGAATTTCACTGAAATCATGAACCGATCTAAGTTAGGATGTTCAGTGATCCCAGGTTTTCAGTAGTGATCTAACTTAGCTCATTTCTTGATTTCATTTAAACCAGTTGTTCTGTTCAAAAATATAGTCTAAGCTGAAAAAAATCAACATTTTCATTGCATATATAACCTTTTGACGCTTACCATAGCTTTGTAAAAGATACTAACTAGCATCTACGACAATACATGAACAATATTACTAATTGTATGTGTGATCATAGTAGAATGTTTATCAGCAGACAAGGTATAATAAAATGTTAAAGAGGGAAAGAAATCTTCCAGAAGATATCCAGAGATTTTCTTGACGTGATATACAGTTTAAGTGTATTTACACCAGTTGTTGATAAAAGTCAGACGGAACAATAATACATCAACAATAGTAATTCATGTTTTCCAAAATAACGATGAGAAAAAAGAACTGTACAAATTATACAATTAATTTATTTGGATAGATACAATAAATTATTTGACTGAGAAAAAATCCATTTCACAAACTGATTAATAGATATAAAGGTAAGCCTACAGTATTTTTAATAAATAAAGATGAATGGTATTTATCAGTGGAATCCAGAACACGCGTTTCGTCCTATTCGGGACTCGTCAGCTAGATGTATCTACACCATAGATTTGATATTCACTGCTAGTCACTATCTATTTTTGCTTATAATGCCTGGTACAATATCCGCACAGGATGCATATATGCCAATAAAACACTGATCAATTGCTGTCCCAAACATCAATGGGAAGATTCAAACGAACAATACAAATTGAATTTTTCATAAATGTTTATTTCATTTGTAATCAAATGAACATCAACTAAGAATTTAATCTGTTAGAACTATTATCCTTGATATAAAGTTTGCTTTGGAGTCCTATAACAAGAGGAAAACCGGTTTTTAAAAGAACATTGACAAAATAATAAATATTTTTGCTTATGAAGTGAGAGTTTTGCCGATTTTGTTCAGTTTGTTCACAATATCAGAGATCTAAACAAACAATGAGCAACCTCAAACACTGACCACTTTTGTAAAAGGTTTCCGAAGTTCTAGTGGATAGCAGTGACTGATAAAACTTAATCATATCAAAAGTTAGTCTCTTACCATATGTAGTAGTGGATAGTAGTTGCTTATGATTGTAAATTGATTGAACATATAAATATGAACCAATGATACCAACACAGTAGTCTGAAGGTAACATGCTAACAGAGGTCCCATGTTCGGCCCTTGATGCGGTCAAAAGTGTGTACTCCTAGAGTTCTGTACTAGAAATAAACGACCGCTAAGTTCGATCTATTTAATAACTGCCATCTGGCAGTTAAGTTACGCTTCTTTTTGCTTTATCTAAACTTCTATTATCTGATCAGAATGGAGGCTTTTTGAAATTACTCAAATAATCGAACGACTAGTTATGTTGCATATCTAAGAATAACATTCACAAAACTGATTATCCACTTTTTTTCATATTTGCATTGGAAAGTGGAATTTTTGTATTTCGTATGTACAGTGATAGTGCATGAACACTTGAGGAAATCTAAATGCGTCTATCCTAGTTTAAAATATACCTGAGATGGTGGAGAAGATTTGTAGCTCAGGTGGATGATTTTGGTGGCGTTTTGTTCTCTGAGCTGGATGGTTTGGTCGTGGAACTTTCATTGTTCTTCTGAAGGACATCATCAGCACAAACTTCAGATAGAAGTGAAGTGTTCGAATTTCTCCATATGTGTTTCACAGCTTGTTCTGTGCACCTCGATGTTGATTGGTTCTTATTGACCTTAAATTTATCATTGTTTACTTTGTTTTGGTTGTGTCTCCCATTGGCTTGATTTTTGTTCCTATATTTAAACATGATTTTCCTGATTGGTTGATAAATTGGATTGAGTTCAATATGTTTGTTGATTGCTGATTGACCTGAGTGCCAGGCTTCTAAAAATTCGCTAGTGTTTTCGGAGTTTCCTCTGTCTAAGATTTCTACATTTTTCCAATCGAATGAGTGTCCGTAGTTATCCACGTGTATTGATATAAGTGAAGAGATATCATGGCGTTTGACTGCTGATTGATGTTCATGTAGGCGAAGGTGGAGGGGGGGTCCGCTTTGTCCGATGTAGTGTTTGTCTCAGTTGGTACAATTTATTTTGTAGATGATGTTTGATTTGTTTCCCTTTGTTATTTTATCCTTTGGTTTGCATAGGATTGATTGTAGTGATTTTGTCAGTTTGTATGCCACACCTATCCCAAACGTTTTCAGCAGTCTCGTTGCGGTTTCTGATATTCCTTGTATGTACGGTAGGGTGATCCTTTTGTTGATTTTTGTGCTTGACTTGGGTTCTGATGCTGCGTGCGGTTGGTGTTTTTTGATGAAGTTGATTGGGTAGCCGTTCTTTCGAAATATGTCCTTCAGGTATTTCTCTCGATTTTTTCGTGCTGCCAGTGTGCTGCCGTGTGTCCTCGCCTTCTTGAACAATGTGTGTACAATCAATCCTATGCAAACCAAAGGATAAAATAACAAAGGGAAACAAATCAAACATCATCTACAAAATAAATTGTACCAACTGAGACAAACACTACATCGGACAAAGCGGACCCCCCCTCCACCTTCGCCTACATGAACATCAATCAGCAGTCAAACGCCATGATATCTCTTCACTTATATCAATACACGTGGATAACTACGGACACTCATTCGATTGGAAAAATGTAGAAATCTTAGACAGAGGAAACTCCGAAAACACTAGCGAATTTTTAGAAGCCTGGCACTCAGGTCAATCAGCAATCAACAAACATATTGAACTCAATCCAATTTATCAACCAATCAGGAAAATCATGCATAAATATAGGAACCTGATTACCATTCACAGAATTCTTTCACTGTCCCTATAAGCTGGCAATGTTTTTCTCCACGTTCTTGAACCAAATAGCAAAAGTTTAATTTATTTAAAACAGCCTTTAAAATACATTGAAGCTTTTAATAGGAATTTGTTCATCTTATTTATTGATTACTTCATGATAACAAATGATCCAGTGAAACAATGTAAAACTTTATTTCCGATACAAAAAAACCTTTTAATTCATTTACAATGTGAACATATAATAATAAGCAGATAATGAGACTAAATATTTGATATTGGCGTCATAAACATATTCAACTAATATCTTCCGAAAATAAAGGATTCAGTATTGATAGAGAAGAAAAATAATAATTACTATTAAAAAAAGTATCTATGATATTATGTTAATTATATATTTTGTAAATGGTTAGTAGAACAAATAAATATAGTATGTAACAATTAACCAGGTATAAATTAATTCTGTGTATCCATACTTCATTACTGATGTTTGTTGTTACAAAACATAAGTTATTAGTGACAGTAAATATTTCCAAATAGACAATTCAATAAATGTCCTGGATTTAGAAGATAATTGTCACCAAAGAAACAAGTTAATTCATATTACGAAATGGAGTTAGCTTTATTTCTATTACATGGATGTCTGTGTTGTCCTTATTAAGGATTTATTAGGATTTTTTAATTTAGGTCTCTTGGAGGAATAAGCTTACTATCTCGAGTGCTCGATGAGATTTTAACAAGTTGAAACTACCAAGTAGCAATCTACCACAATTACTTTGTGATCGAGAGCATAAAATATTCAATGGCGTTAGTGTATTAGTCAATTACTTCGTTGACTCTTTATTATGGCTTCCTATTAGAAATTTAAGAACTCGTCTCTTGTCGCTGATAATCTAGATATTGTGTTGAACAGAACTTATATGAAAATTTTCGTTTAACTTGGAGAAAATCCGCGTCACAGCCGGATGTCTACTGTTAGACGATTAGATTATCGTAGTAACAGAGAAAATATAACTGTTGGTTAACTAATAAGTTAAGATGCTTGTTATACGGAATATCTCTACCGACAGAGAATAATCATGATTAAAGTATGTATACTTATCTGTTTTTAGTATAGAGTTGTCAAGATTGTAGACTTCTAGTGAAATCACGAATCACACAATGTCAGACCACCATTGAAAACGTGAAAGCACTGAAACTCCGTTTCGTCCCAGTATGGGACTCCTCAGTAGTGTTTTAAAATATGTCCAGTATCTAGATTAAAAACATCTTGATTTGAACGGTCGAATTTTTTCAGTTTTATTGAAGAACCCAATCACTTATTATTCTGTTATATAATCACTAAACTCATTTTATTGTAGGTCAGAATTCTATTCATCTTACTAATAATATGCTTACTCTGTATGGCTATAACAACAAAATGTCATTATGTATATTTTCAGTGGTTTGTTATCTAAATCTCCTAAAAAACCTTAGTTCTCTCACATGGGATCTTGAGTATAAAATAAAGTTAATTATGTTACTAACAAAAAATACCTGTTTAGCGATTATGAGATTTCAATAATTCATTAACTGAAGTCATATGATTATGAAATTTAACTTCTTAACCGAAAAAATATTTTATTATTAACAAACGGTACTTCCATATTTTATGCTCATTAACCTGAATTGTCATAGCAATTAACTCTTTAAATCTATGGTATCCATGGGACAAGAATAATATGCAAAAGACGAAAACGCAGTATTTTTTCGATGTTACAGACTAGCCTTCAATTAGATGATAAATATCGTTTATATATATATATATATATATATATATATATATATATATATATATATATATATATATATATATATATATATATATATGGCTCAGACATATAGCAACCAGCCATAACATTGAATTGAATAAGTCAAAAGTAATAAAACGTTATCCACATGATGGATAAATAAATAATTAAAATCCTAAATAACATGTTTGTAATTAATATTCAGTGTATATTCCTATTTGTAGCCAGTTGCTAGGCAACACTTAAAAATAGCAGACCCCAACATCAATCAGAACTTACCCACTATAAATACATTGATATTGATATTTTCATCAATGAACCAAGTTGAATATCAGTGAAAAGAGATTTGCATCAATGAATTAAGTTAGATAATTAACTTGTTTGTTCTGTGTCCAACTCAATGATACGAAATATTATGATGATAAAAGCCAACTTTCTAATTATTTGTTTTTCATGTTCTTCCTTTTTTCTAGATCCCAAATAATTTTGAAAAAATATGTGAACGATTACCCAGAGCTTTATTAGAACCTGTACGTAAAATGATCAGTAAGGATGTTCGTGAAAGACCGACATCACAGCTTTTTGCTTTAGTAAGTTGACAGTTTTTAGATTACTCATTTTGCTTTGCTAACCATAGGGCAAGTTTCTATTGGTCACTTTATGGAATAACAGCAGAAAACTCTTCTAAGATCACCTTGTTAGAAAGTGTAAACAAATAAGATGAAGTTTACATCAAGTTAAGAAACCGATGTAAAATGATTGTTTTAATTCAATAAATCAAATGAATGTAGTTATATATACCTGCAATAAATTCCTATTGATCAGTGTACATGATAAACGAATTTTTTCAATCGACTTTTATATGCATATATAATTACCAGGTCAGTCAGTCAATCAGATTCAACGTAGACTGTGGCAAAAACTTGCATCTACCAGGTAAATGAAGGTGGGCTCATTACAAAAATAAACAAACATGTTTTAAGCTTGCTGCATATCTAATTCACAAAACCTATTTATCCTACAAATCATACTTCTAATTTATGGCATTTCCATACATTCGATTACTGATTTAAAATAATTAGCTAAAACCAGTCAATTAATGACCTTTAGCTTTTTATCCAATACAAAGTATGTTATAGAATTGTATGAGACACAATTATAGGATGATCAAATTTATACATCACTGACCAATGGTTTGAAAACTCGATTTTATTCTTCAAGGAGCTTTCTTCGACAATAGTTAATTCATTCATCTTGAAATCTAAAATGAGGCTTGGATTTAATCCTTTTAATAAATTTCCTCTTGCTGTACTATCTAATTATCCGAATTTGACTGAATCACTTTTTTAAAGCACTTTTTTGAAACCATGGAATTACTGTCTAGTTAGCCACAACCAAGGTTCGTGTGAGAAGTATAGATATATTACAAACAACATGTATACTACAAAGCTGTATGTTATTTTTTAAACATAAGATATGGCTATCATGCAGGTATCCGACTCTGTCTAAATTCACAATATTCCAATCATGGTTTAGAATATCGAGTATTTGTAACATAAACTATGATGTAATAAGTTGTTAAGTTTATGGAATTTACCAATCAATGGTGATTCACATATTATTCACGATATACTATATTCAATACATCTCCTCAGTTGATTCATAAGTGAGCTTAGATAACATTGTGATCATCAGATTAAAGTCTTGATTATTAAGCCTGTCCAAAGTTTTAAGACAACTCTAAAGGACTTTTAATTGTACTAGATTTGCACTATGCTTTCAGTGCTATCCAAGGATTCACTACCATTAATTATTGAAAAATACAAGTTAGTCAGACTGGTTATTTATCACAAAGTATACGCATTGGTGATAAATCTAGCTGTAAACAGATCGTTAATAGATGTGCTAAACACATGTAGATCACTCATTTTCATACCTATCTAATTGAGAGTCTTCATTCGAACCAAGAAATACAGCAATTTTTCAATTCTACTTCAAATCTACACTTCACATTAATCCTGTCATATCATCATACCTCTATTTATATTTCAAAAAGCTTAGTTGAGAAGCTGTCGAAATTGATTTTTGTAAGTGGTTGATTTCATCGGAAGCCTAGTTTATTTGAAAAGTTAGTTACTGTAAATGTTGATGCTGCCTTGATGTTTGGAAGGCGAAAAGACTGTTCATAAAAATAGGCTACTATTCTGTCGTTTTCCAGAAGATCAAACAAGAAGCATTCCCCCATTTTCGGTTTCCCAAATCGCAGCCATTGTTATAATTGACTTCGTGTATCCAACACACTGAAAGAAAACTTAACAGAATATTACCGGGTGCTTAGTCAACCAAGACTTCCAGGTCTGCCTAACTTACACCACGAATATTTGTAACTGTTTTCGTTAAGTTGAGACTCAAGGGACAGATGTAATGCGATATAAATAATAAACTGGAGAGTAATTTCTTCTCGCTGTGTTATTAAAAGAACTTCGCTAGGCCTTGACGGTACCTACAAGTGTAACAGAGAAGGAATACTGCTTTGCTAGTTGGTGATATTAGATGCACCTATGGAAGTTTTGCGAGTAACCTTTGGATTTGTAACTAGCAAAATTTCTGACCCAAACGGAAGTTTTTTGAAGTGTTATGCCATAGATGCCTGTCAGATGTTACGTTAATGAAGATGGAGAAGAATTAAATGTCTAACAAATTTCTGGAAGAGCATCAAAAGTTTTACTAAATTCATACAATACCTAACTTTTTGCAGTGAGTACGCTCACACCATAATGTGAATACTTTTTCTTTAGTATGTATGGATGTTTTTGCAACTAATGTATACGAATATTATTAAACGGTAAACAATGTTCTTGGTTCGCTAATAAAATTTGTACTTTCTGTATTTACTTGAATGTCATCCAGGTTGAAAGTCCCACCTTTTTTCGTTCCCTTGACGAAAAACCTCTTGGGCATAAAAGAAAGGTAGGCTCATATGTTTAGGCTGCAAGAAAAACTACTTGTGCCAAAAATACTGACTTCATTTAATGCACGTAAATTTTCACGATGTACCATCCAAATCCCATGTCCACTGTCCTGTCCCATAAATTTCATCTATTTTTAGGAGTAAATTATAGTTGCTGATTGGCTCACACAAGTTGGTCAAGCTGGTTAAGAAAATATGATTATCCGTAGCGAATGGGGTTTCTAAGACTTATAGAAAATTTTTTTTGTAGTAGTTACAAACGAGCAGTTAAATACAAATTACTATTTTATTTTATACACTCATTCTAATTTTTTGAGTGATGTGTAGAGAACCGTATGATTAATAAACTGAAGTTAGGATAAATTTATGGGATGAAATTATCACCATTTTTACACTCTCCTGATTATTAAATGAGACAGTGAAAAATCAGGATGACAGAAAATCTTATTAATAAGGCTTGTTCATAAAGAATAAAACATGGTTTAGAGTGTATTTTGGTGCTTTTTTCTCTAAGTTTATTCGTATCACGGTTATCTTTAAATAAATCATGTATTCTTAAGTGTATTATTTGGTGCTAAATATATGAATTTCAATATGCGTTATTTACTTTATATGTTTGTCAGTCGAAAATTCAAGTCCACAGATAAACTTTTACAGCAAGCAGTTGCCCTTTGAAAACCGTCCTTGTAAAATTTTAGTTCAAACTTAATTATCATAGCTCACAGAATGGGTGTCGACAAAGGCCAGCATCACACCCCTAAGTTAATTATCACTTATGAAACAAAAAACCGATTTGAAAAAAAGTTATTTGTATAGCAGATATCATTTAGTAAACTTCAATAGTGTTTGCTATCATCTAAGGCGACACGTATCATCCAAAAGAATCTCGAAATACTGAATAATTCGTTAATGATTAGCTTCAGATTACTATGCAATGATAGAATATAGTTTGTTTTAAAATTGACAATTGTTTAATAAATTTTACGTTAAATACAGAAAACTATGTGTTCTTTTTAAAGTTAAAAAGGTCATACTTACCATTCGTTATTACATGTCTTCATAAAAATATTGGCTTTTGCGCTCTGTTACAAAACTAAATTAATTTTTGTTCCTAGAGATCACTGACATCCACAATAACAAGAATCAATATACTCATTATCACTTGTTTACTCGATCATCAACTTTCTTCAAACATTATATTGAACAAACGAACAATCTTGCTTATTATTCATATTCTATCATCAATTGTTCACAGATAAACATTCATATTATTTAACATGTTTATTAAGATGAATAGATAAAAAAAAGATTGATAATTGTTCTGTAGATGCTGATAATCAACTTTTTAATTCATGGTTTATGTGATTAGAGTGAAACAAAATGTTTAATGCTTAGTTCAAGTTATTGATGTTTCTGCTTTTTATATTTTTCATCATTATTCATGACAATCATTCCAAGTAAACAAGAATAAATGGTTCCTTATCTATGATTGTAAACATATTTTATGATAACAGTATGTAAATAATCAATATTTTGGTCATAATATTTATTATCCTGTTCACAAGAAAACTAAAGAATGAATTATTAATCTGGTGAAAGAAATTTGATGACCTGTAGTTTTAGCTACTACTTTGACTACAGATATCATTGTCTGTGTATTTTCTATAAAAATGACAGGGCTTTGAACGGGGTGACAGCTATAAATACAAAACTACTGCAAGGTTTGTTTCTCATTAACCTAATGTAATCTAGTAACTTAAGCATTTATAATCAAAAAACCTAATTAACTAATATAAACAGATGGAATGCAGCTAGCTTTGGTATACACGATGCACGTTTCGTTCTTTTTGAGATTCTTTAGCTGGATACACCACCATCCTAGAGTTGTTCACTCCGGGGTTCGAACCCATTACCGTCCGCTTTAAACTTCAATGTGGTATCCACTTTCCTAATGAGCCCAGAAAACCACTTACTTATGCAATATATATGAGCTTTAATTTAATTTTTAATAATTCGGATGATCTCGTTGTTGATATTTTGACTGAAATGTTATCAGACATGTTCGGTATATGTTTAGCCAGTGCTATTGCCTTGATGTAGCCATTATGACACAAGTTTATATGGAATGTGCCACAATGATTATATCTAGGCAATTCGCAGTAGATTCACTCATACCAACCAAGACTGATCAAATTTCAGTCAAAATATCAACTGTTAGCTGAGTACGAAGTTGACAAATTTAATTAAGTAAAGTTGATAACTTTGAATCATGGAATGTAAGCTGACATTTTATAAAATGTATAAAAAAGAGAACTGACATTCCTTAAAACATTGGTTAAATTATTAGAGAATATGACTACAAACTTTCGTTTACTCTCAAGTTAGTATAACCCTTCTAACTGGCATTATATAGTACAAAATAAAAGAAGATAGTATTATTTTAATAACTGGATATAGTATATGGCTTAAAAATAAAATTAATTAAACTACCTAACTAATAATAACAGTTTATTTTTAATGGCTTTGTTAGCATACACATTAAACATAGGTCCGATAGTAGTGCATCGAATGTTCCAAGTAACTGCAAAGGCCTCCTTAGAGAACTCTTATCATCATTAGTGATGACACATATTAATGATATTTCAGCCACAAATGCGAATATTATTCAGAGCTTGAATGTAGAAGTAAGAATAAACCAATACTTTAATATCCGTTGGCGTTAATTAAGTAATTTCGGTTAAAAAATAAATAAATTCATATTCTGAAAATAATTATGGAATGCAGGCCAGTTCACAGTCATGACCACGTTGATAAAAATGAAATGTAACATGTAATGAAAAATATATTCCATAAATTCTCTTGATAGAGCATTTTCTACTAAGATATCAGTAATGCGAGGCAAAAGTTGGGACTACAATTGGATTATTGAGGATAAATAATGCAATGAACAACGATTTCATTGTCTTTACACTTCATTTTCAACTACGTGCAATTAGTTGATCATGGAATAATCAAGCAAAAATTAATATAAAAGAACCTGAATCATATACGTGCTAGATTGTTTTGTAACATGCTGATTTATTTTCGTCTTTACTAAACTAAACAGCTGTATTTTATACATTCCTACAACAACAGAATAAGTAATGCAATAAGAATAAGATTTAAAATAGCGTACTCATTAAAATATCCGCGTGATGAAAAGTTTAATAAGTAAACCCAATAGTAACAGTGATCAATGAAAACTAGATTTTATTTCTGAAATATACATGGTCTTTGTGTATTGGTAATTATTAATATATCCATCCTCAATAATTCATTTTTCATGCCCACAAATAAGTTTCAAAATATTAGTTTATGAATCGAAGTTTACTGATTAAGTGAAACTGTTTGGTGAATGCAATCTAGACGACAGTGTTGGATAGTCATCAGTACGTGGAAAATATCTGCTTATCTTCTGATTCAACCTCTTTTATCTGGAATATTAGGCGTCACCTTTACTATGAAATTCTAAGATTCTTGTAGAGGTTATGAAATATATTTCTTGGCACTCCTTTACCAACTATTCTTTAAATGACACCATTTTGTGAAGATTATGTACATTTATATTACAAAATACATATATACATTAAAAATACTTCATACTTTATGCATTATTCATGTTATCTTCTTAGTTAAAGGTATTTAATGAACCAGTAGTTCTTTCTTACGAAGGTTTACTAACATTGAATGATAAATCATTAAATCAGAAGAAAGAATTCTTTGGCCGACTCCCTAAAGTTATACCCTTATTTGAACCTGTAAGTTGATTACACGATTATTGATTATGATTCGCATTGGAGCGAGGTTTATTTTTAAAATTCTTACTTCTTTTACTGGAATGGGGTGGTTAACTGAAGGGAGATTAAACACCTCCTTACTCGCCCATCATGCTATTCGTGAGTATAATTAGCAGTTTACGTTTATTCGCATCACGAATGAAAAATACTTTTAAAGCAGAAAGCATCAAATATCTATTCCTTCTTGTCCAAACTTCATTATTGATCAAAATGCCTTAAAACCGTAACCACTCTGAAATATTCTGCAATCAGTATCTTGTTCGTGGGAAACTAGACCACTTGTAACTTCACAAGTCAAAACGTTGAGCTAAAATTGAATAAGATATCAAGGTGAACTCTAGCTTATCACTTGAAATTATCCCATCTACATATATTATTCTCAAATTTTCAATTAATTTTGTTAAAAGAACCTAATGTAACAGGGGGAGATGCTTAAATCATACTTCAACTAAATAGATTGTGATGCCTATTTGTAGTAAAAATAATAAGCTAACTAAATTACATGATTTAATGTTGAACAACAACAGATTAGATCTAAACATATTACGATTGCTCATTATTTTAAACGTTTTACGGTATGACTTCAATCTTTAGAAAACTTGAGCTATAAAAAATGAAAATCGACGTATAAATTGCGTGTCAACGCCATTCATTTCATATAAATCTATCCTCAACATATCTTATATTTCTTTCATCAACTAGTAATTATTTATTGGATCTAATGTAATATCTGATTAATTCTATAATATTTGCATACTTTTTTCCATTTTATTTCAGAATGTCAGATATAAATATATTCTACCACTTATTTTACAGTGGTTATATGAGTCAAACGAATTAATTCCCTATATTCTACCATCATTTTTAACCATGATTAAAGTGGCGGAATCTGATGATTATGACAAATATTTAAAATCCCACTTGCACAAAATTTTAACGGAAACCAAATCACTTCAGGTAAATTAGTGAAAGTAAAATAAGATTGATAGAAGTCATTATATTTATTTTATTGTCAATATAGGGTCGTGGATACTGTTTAGTTTAGATTGATATCATGAATGGATCAATGTTAGACCACCATTGAAAAGCTGGAAGCACTGGACGCCTTTTTCGTCTTAGTATGATACCGAATACAAGTATATAAGAATGTGTGGATTAGTGGAACTGAATTCAGTTTTTCCAAAGATTGTTATTATTTTCAATATTTTTAATCATCGAAGCACTTGGTTTTCTTTCAGCTATCATTTGTAATCAATACTCTTTTACCCATAAATCTATTTTCATAACTCAATTATTTACTGTGTCTTTGTATAAACGCCAATACCACCTAAAATAAATTATTTACTATCAGCAAAATTAACTAAAATTACATACAATTACTAATATGAACGAAGTAGGAACGATACTATTTGCGGACTGCATAGGTCTTTCTTTGCTTAAATTTGTAAAGTGAACCAATGGCAAGAAGCACTAGTATTTCGTGTGATCTCATCATCAACGTGGAATCAAGTACCATTAATAAGCACAAATATTTTGAAATAGTTCAAATAGAGCTATTGATACATATCATCTGACTGATAACTACCATACACTAGATTATCTTGTTTGGAAATGAACTGACAGATGTCACTTATTTTCTGCGAAATTAGTGTTTAATCATTTTGGCTTGACGAGTATCCACTTAGTTACCTCTTTAAAAGTTCCAAATAATTAAAGCCAATGAAATTTTTATATTTTTCTGGTCATCATCAAAATCCGTATACGGTATATGACTAATTTATTGTTTATTACTCTTACTGATCATATAGTTTTAAACGTTCTACACAATTATTTATATCAAAAACTACAATAATGACTTAACTGTTTGTCTGTGAAAATCCTTTATTATGTGCCTGTAAACTTTCATTGAACTTAGACAGTTGTATCCTACAATAAGATACCAAATACTGAGTCACAAAAATAGTGTTTATATTGCACAACGTAGATATGTGACTTTTCTCAGGAAAGTGAGAATTTTTTCTGATATTGTAACTAAGGGCTTAGTTGATTGGAATGTTGTTGATGTTTGACATTATCTTCTTTTGCCATTCGTTTTTGGCATGCAACTACATCTTAAGAAGGTGTAACTATATTAGTTGTATCTATTGCTCGTAGATGGTTAATTTGTCTGATATTGTGCATCCAAGTTGACCCAATAAACGATTGATTGTTAAATGTCAAGTAATACTCATCTTAATGAATATATATCTAATTGTAAATCACACATATTGATTTAAGTTTAGATTACAAATGCAAAAAAAAATCTTTCAGTGTCTTCTGATTTGAAAGTGTTGTAATCAATACCAGAGGATGCGATTATTTGTATTCCATATTAAACACTAAATGTAGTTATAATTTTCTCTTGTGTCTGAGTCGAAGAAATAATAAATAACGATGTTAATAAACTGACAACAAATAAAGGAGACAGTGACATTACATTTGAAATTTGTTTGAAAAATATGAGTAAATACTCCTACTTTATGATATTCATAAATGCGTTAAACTAATAATGAATACTAGAAACTATAACTTATGATTTCTACTCAGATTTCTCCCTCTTCAACAAGAGATTAAAAACATCATGGTTTGAAGATTCGTGGACAGCAGCTTTATTAGTATTGGTTAATCAGTTTTAAAAAAAGGTGCATGGTTATAATGGTGTTACATTCACCATCCTAACCACAAACCAATGAAAATGTCAATATATTTCGGCTGGTCTTTCTCACATAACAGTGGACGTGGAAATTAATCTCAGAACGTTATAATTTGTAGCAAATAGTGCTTTTTAAAAATTTTGAAAGGTTGGTGAAACGACTAAGTTGATTAGAAAAATGTGATATGTTCACTCAATACATTTTGATCAAATAAATCTGCGATCAAATCGTTCGAAATATATAGCAAAAAGACATATTTTTCATATCAATTCAGTCAGTTTATGACAACCTTATTACCTAATCAAACAATTAACTATTAAATATCGTATAAAGATACTTAACACTTGAAATATACTTCGGAAGTTCTATACACAATTTTGTAGCAACTGTCTTTTTCAAGTTTACTGATGTTTAAACACTTAGTTATTAGTTTTACATTGTAAATGAACAATCAGCTATCATATAATATTGGGGACTAAATAATCTCCATCAGTGTTGTCAGCCTCTTTCCTTCTCTTTACTGTTTTAATGTGAATTTCTGTGTCTGTGTGTGTATCTATGTGCTTTAATATCCTAATGATTATATCAAACCAATTAGGTATATATTCATTCAACCGTAGTAAGTATTTGGTAGGAGTGTTTCAAGGGCAGTCAACAAGTAAGTTAATATTTTTATTGATAGCAAAATAGCAAAATAAATAGTTCGGAAAAATTACATTATTTTCGATTGCTTTTGTTTTTCACTGAAAAATATAAATCTATTCTTACACTGAGCAAATCTTTATAAATCAACTAAAAACCACTTCATTCTGAACAGTGTTGATGATAAGAATGTATGCATGTAGATGAAACTTGAAACTAATAATAAGATCGACAATAACACCAACTAGTTTCATAAGATACTTACTCGAACATATTCATGTAATTCAGAACTTTACTATCTACAATTTATGTCTTAAGATTTTCATTATATTAATTAACGTCCAAGATAATGATCAGTCGATCAATATTTAATAAATAAACCTGAAATAATGATTCCATTTTGTTTTCTTTCTTAAAATGTTTGGTTTGAGTAATCTAAGTTATTGTCTTTTCTCAGAGCTGTATATTACTTTTGAGTTATAAGCCTATTTGATTCAGGATGTTACAGATATATATCTTGGTTGTATGAGACGTTTTATGGATTACTTACTATTTTAACCATTTATATTTTAGAAAGCTTAATAACTACTATCTGAGCACGTATTACATTCAAAAAGCTTTCTGTGAGGATTGGATAAGTAAATTTGATTTTCTAAAGTTTTCAAATTAGTTGAGCGGTATACGCAAATGTCTTCATTCAGACAATAATTTTCGGCAGGTACTAATGTTAGCTTCAGAATCACTAAAAGTCAGGAGGTATAAGACATCTGAGTTGTTCTAATTTCGAGTGACATACACAATCAGAACTCATTGTTCTGAACAAGGTTAAACTTCTGGTTTTCAGTTCCAAAGCAAGCACGAAAAAATAAGACTATTCAATCACAGTTTTCGGCCTTGTTTAATTCATCATATAATACGGCCATTATCATACACAATCAATCTATCCAATCCCCTTACTCTTAACATTCTGATCTTTGTTCTACTGGCAGCTGATCGAGTTTGCAACTGTACTCTGTATGATTCACTTTTATATCTCTTGACGATTATTTTAATCGGTGAAAATTTAATTGACTTAAGGGATCGTTTTTTCGAGAACTCTTTATAATCATATTAATAATAATGTACTCTAGCACATGATATCTAAACCTATTTGTTAGTTAGCTGAACTTTGTTATTTGCTTCGAATAAAACTGATTTTAAACTTATATTTAGTGGCCATTTTTTTATGATTATTACGAGTTGTGGTTGCATACCATTCATCAGAGTTGAAGTTACATGGATGAATGACTATCCTTTTAATGGATTATCATTGTTTTAACATTATTCAATTAACTTATTAAATCAATTTAAAAAAACGTAGGTCATTTGAGTTTTAAAAATTATAGTATAAATGGTAAAATGAAAAACAAAATCATTTTAGTTTGCCCGGTTCTAGAAAAATAAATTAGATTTAAAGTTTGACTAGAATAGTTTCTATTGTAATAAATGTTTAATATAAGAAATTTGTTATTTTTACATTACAATTATTAGTAGTGTAACGGATTTGTATAACCACATTTTCCTTATTAATTAACTGAATTACGAACAGTCTTTATTGCTGTATGTGATTTCTGTATGGATAGTCATTTTCTTACAAATTATATAAGATAGATGGATTGTGACTTATATGGGGTGGGGTAATTGTAGACTTGTGCTTTGTTGTATTCAGAACTTAATAGATGAATGTACTGGAATCCAAATGTACACGTATAAATTACCTTTTTTGTCTTTAAAGTGCATTAGAAAACTACAAATAAGATCTAACAGTTGATATACCAGTTCCAGAAGCGAATATTTAGAAGTTAGCAAGTTATTACGAGCTGTTTGGTAATTTTTGAGAATTATTCATCCAAGTTATGTGCTCATCAGAATACGTCGAATAAATCTTTTTAATTTTATAACCGATTATTAAGTGTCTGATATATTAATATTAGATCTTTACGAGAATATACAGATGTTTTCCGGTCTCGTCAACACATTTGTCGTGTACTAACTAATTTTTCTGGTACCCAGTTAAGTGGTTAAGCATATATATGCATTTTAATTTCAATAATCTGAAAACATACAGGGTGATATCAGCATCAATAATATCTGATTTTGCATCTATTTGATCGAAAGCATTTTTGCATTCAACCAACGCAATGAGCAATATACTACTGGATAGCTAAATGTTTCACGAAATTTCATCAGCTAAAGAGCTACTGAAAATCTAGAGGCACTGAATAGCGCTGACCGTCTTAACCTCTAGGTTTTGTAGCTTTTTGCCTACAGGGTAACGGCTTATCAGGTCACACATCTTGCTATATTTGTCAGACAGCAAGATTTCTATACACTGTAACTGATGAGCCAATGTCTCAGTCTTAACCTCATCGACTACAAATGTTATGATTTCCCCCCAGAGTTTCAGGAAATCCGTGATAATCCTTTTCACTCCTTAAGTACACTACAGGTTACTGATTGTTGCAGAGGCTTCTCAATTATTGAAATTAATTTCCATTATAAGTCACATTTACGGATAAACTTGAAGCTGTAGCTCACAACTAACGTTGCATCTTAAAGTCATGGAAATTAAAATATCCTTCTTGTGTTTTTTGGTCTTTTTTAGACAAGTATGGTAATTTTGGATCTTTCAGATTTCTTTATTAATCATATTAGTCAAGATGACATTGGAAATCTTCTCCTTCCTGAAATATTTGTTTGCCTCGAACCGGGCACTCCAAAATCTTTGGTAAGCTATTATTTTCACACATACGATTATCCATGTAAAAGTTCTTAAAAATTTCATTGCATTCACTTCCAGTTTTGCAAACACCGGTAAATGACATATATATGTGTTCTTATCATCAATAATTATGTTTACAATTATTCTAGAATCATTTATTTTAAAATTAACTAAAGTGTGTCCTACACAATGCTAATAACTATTCCAATGCGGTTGTTAAATAAAATATAAGCCAAATACTAAAATTCAAAAAGAATTACCCTTTCGTATGTAAGACAATGTTTATCATAATATATAGTTTTCACCGGAATATATACAACAGAATTCCAAGCTTTATCTAATATTATCAAACGCTTTTATCACTGATTTCAACAAATACTCTGATTAGATCATCAAAATCAGGCCCTAGGAATATCTGATAGAAACCTTAATCTCCAACCAAAACATGGTTTTACCAAGTCATTAACATGATGGGTTACTACTAAGCAGTTATCGAATAATACAATGAGTAATAGTTTGTGAATAATTATTTATAAGTAATATGTATGTAATATGTAAGACGTCAACCCACCAACGAAGGAAGAAATCAGAATGGCCGTCAGACAAATCAAGAACGGGAAAGCAGCAGGACCCGACAACATACCAGCTGAAGCACTGAAGTCAGACATCAATGTAACTACAAACATGCTTCACTTTCTATTCAAAAAGATTTGGGAGGAGGAACAAGTGCCGATGGACTGGAAAGAAGGGCACCTCGTCAAGATTTCAAAGAAAGGAGATCTGAGCAAATGTGAGAGCTACAGAGGCATTACACTACTGTCAATACCAGGGAAGGTCTTCAACAGAGTGTTGCTGAACCGGATGAAAGATGCAGTAGACGTCCAACTTCGAGATCAACAAGCTGGATTCCGTAAGGATCGGTCGTGCACAGACCAAATTGCAACACTACGGATCATCGTCGAACAATCAGTTGAGTGGAACTCGTCACTATACATCAACTTCATTGATTATGAAAAGGCATTCGACAGTGTAGATAGGAGGACATTATGGAAACTTCTTCGACACTACGAAGTTCCTGAGAAGATTGTCAATATTATCTGGAACTCATATGACGGACTACAATGCAAAGTCGTTCATGGAGGACAGCTGACAGATGCATTCCAAGTAAGGACCGGAGTCAGACAAGGCTGTCTACTCTCTCCCTTCCTCTTTCTTCTGGTGGTCCATTGGACCTCGACATCTGAGGAAAGACACGGAATACAATGAACAGCTCAGAATCAATTAGACGATTTGGACTTCGCAGATGACCTAGCCCTCCTATCGCATACACACGAACAGATGCAGACAAAGACAGCCAGTGTAGCAGTAGTCTCTGCATCAGTGGGCCTCATCATACACAAAGGGAAAACCAAGGTCCTCAAATTCAAAGCGGAGAACAGCAATCCAATCACTCTTGATGGTGAAACTCTGGAAGATGTAGAATCTTTGACATACCTGGGAAGCATCATCGATGAACAAGGAGGTTCAGATGCAGAGGTAAAGGCAAGGATTGGCAAAGCAAGGGTCGCATTCCTACAATTGAAAAACATATGGAACTCAAAACAACTTTCAACCAATATCAAAGTGAGAATCTTCAATACGAACGTCAAGGCAGTTCTACTGTATGGAGCTGAATTTTGGAGAACTACAACAACCACAATCAAGAAGGTACAAGTATTTATAAATAGCTGTCTTCGCAAGATACTCAACATCCATTGGCCGGATATCATCAGCAACCGCCTTTTGTGTGAGAGAACAAATCAGCTTCCAGCTGAAGAGGAAATTAGGAAAAGACGATGGAAATGGATAGGACATACATTACGCAAATCGTCAAACTACATCACGAGACAAGCCCTAACTTGGAATCCTGAGGGGAAGCGAAAAAGAGGAAGGCCAAAGAACACATTGCGTCGGATAATAGAAGCAGATATGAATAGGATGAATAACAACTGGAAGGAGCTGGAAAGGATTGCCCAGGACAGGGTTGGATGGAGAATGCTGGTGAGCGGCCTATGCTCCTTCACGAGGAGTAATAGGCGTAAGTAAGTAAAGTAAGTAATATGTAAGTGCAGAGTGGATTAGAGAACGCAGGTCGGCGGCCTATGCTCCGTTGGGAGTAACAGGCGTAAGTGAGGAATCCCCAAAAAAAGAATCCCTTTAAATCTATGCCGTGTAGTTTGACAGTTAATAACCTCACCAATTATAAATTTGGTTATCATTTAAAGAGATCACTTTTTTAAAATTACATCTGATTTCAAATCAGCTGAACAAGTTACATTTGAGAACTTTTGCTGAATATTCACGAACTATTTATAATTTTTTGACATATTTTCTTTTCTAAATGTCTAACCACAAAAAAAAACTTAACAATAACAGGAAACTGTTCAGAATGCAATTTCAGTATTGTCAAACTATCTTAATAATACACAAATTGTCCAATCAATTCTACCACAGCTCAAAGAAATATATAATCGTAAAACATCAAATCCCAAGGTAAGGTAAACCTTTAAAAAAATATCTTTGTTCGAATAATAGAAAAAAAGAATAAAACAATACATGTTCAACAATTAGGTCGTAAAGATTTTTATGTTTAATATTGATTAGTGCTTGTTGGTACTTGTTAAAGTAATTTATTTCATCTACTAACATAGATTGTCATATTCCAACCATTATGAAATGGTCATTTAAAAAAAGAGTTCATGTTTAAAAATAGCTCATCCATTATAGAATAAATGATTTCAGTAGTTGAGAACATGGGTTAATTGAAGCTAGGCCACCATCGAAAACCTGAAAGCACTGGACGGCCGTTTCGTCCTAGTATGGGACTCCTCAGCAGTGCGCATCCACAACACCGCCCTCTGCGAGATTCGAACTGAGGTTCACTGGTTTCGCGCGCGAGCACTTAACCACTGATCCGGCATCCAACGGTGTTAGTGTCTAACTTCGACCAGTCCACGAAATTGAGCGACACATCCACAATTGTCTTCAGTGAGTTACTATCTCACAACAGACCTGGCTGAACTCCACTAGCCACTGCTTCCCACTAGAACTCCAGAATATGCCTCTTGAAGCCAGTCACTAGTGAGCATATGTTGATTAATATCAGATGGGTTCTGTGGATATTACAGTAATTTCAATGGTTAAGATCATGAGGAGTCCCACAATAGGACGAAACGGCCGTTCAGTGCTTCCAGGTTTGCCGTGGTGGTCTAGCTTCAAGTGACTGATGATCTTAACCATTGAAAACCGTTCTAGTTCAATTAAATATTCAAACGAACGTTCTTCATTTCATTTCCTTTGATACTTTGAATGAAACAATCAAGTTTACACCATAAAGTGGATTGATTTTGTTTTGAAGTTCTTTATTAATTTTAAGCTACCTTAAATTACAAAGTTGTGTGTTTATAAAAATCATTTTGATATACTTTGAACTGTGATGGTGATATGAATGTTTAAAACTGCAGGGAAAACCACGAGTGTAGGAAATAGTTAAAATAAACCTGTAAACGTAGTAGATTGGATTATATTTCCATATATGTGAGTAATAATAGTCAAGTAAACTAATTTAAGTGAAGTTATAGCTACTAACGAAATCAGGTTTTCTAAATGGCCAAGTGATACGATTGAAATAAAACTGACTTACTGGTTATATAGAAATAAGATAACCTAGGACTGAAATCATCTTATTCCAGTCATCGTTACCGGGCAAAGGAAAGGTTTACCACACATCCCAGTAACATAATACACTGATTCCCTTTTTAATGTGCAGTAAACGTAACAGTTGTTGTCAGTTAACTACTTTGAAAACTAAACAAATAGACTCTCTTTTATTCACTGTATATTCTGTTTATATCTATCTCATTCAGAATCTTGTTAAACTGCTATTATGAAACACAATATTTCTAGATATTTTCCATGTACTTGTATGCAGTATATTTGATGCAACTACAGATATCTTCAAGGGTATTTTTCCACTTTTTTGTGGTCAGTATGAGTGCTCAGTACACAAACACTATAGAATAATGAGAAAATATAGACTCCTGAATCAGACCTGCAAAAGAAACTTTACTTTTCAAACTTAAAAGGTGAATAACACAATAGTTCTTATAACATTATTTTTGCTCTAAAAGGGTGTTTCTGGAAACTTACAGAAGATACCAACTAATAAGAAGTGTGAAACCTATCCTATTCACTCTTTTGTCACAAAATACCACACGGAAGATTAGTCATCAAACATTTTAAAGTGATGTTTCCTCTTACGGTTTCTAATATAATATTTAAATCGCATATTTGTTAATCAGCATTTGTTTGTACATTTTCATTTTCATAGATTCGCATTGCATGTTTAGAATGCCTAGGAAAACTTTTAAAAAAATTAACATTACCTACATTATGTGATGATGTACTACCATTTGTTAGCTCAATCCGAACAGTTGATCGTGAATTAGTTCTTGCTGTTGTGGGTAAGTTTCATCTGAATTTTATTGTTTCTAGGCTATAAATCTTCAAGAAAAACTGTACATATTAGTACAGTCACTAAATTTTAATAAATGGCTTCAAAAGTGAAATCACTTTTGTTACTGATCCTGTTTATAAATTTAGTCTATTTAAATGTAAATTTCTGATGCATAAAATCGTAAAACTAATAGATGTCTGACCAGTAACATGCATCTCGTTGTTAGATCCTTATTGTTTAATACATTTGCACGGTAGTTCTTAGACATAATGGTCCACTTTGTCCTATGTTTATTGGCTGCATGCACCTAACAGGAAGTAGTGAAAATGTATTACATGTTTCTTTAAATTAATCAGAAAGATAGATCAGCATTTTCGAGAGGAATAATGAAATGCCAAAGATCTATCTATATGTCACGCAGTATCATAACCACAGACGTTACTACTTTGAGTACCACTAAGAATGAAACATGAGTTTTATGTTCCCAGGAATTTCCATTAAGCACCTAGATAGTAACTTGGCCTAATAGTTGCATGACAAATTTGATTTGTAAAATTCATTTGCTTCTCAGGACCAGACAACGTATTATTAACGACAACACTGTTGATTAAACTTGATCTTGTCGAGCATTAATTAATTTCCAAATACCTCAGTGTATCTGACTGCTGTGCAGTGTAACACTGGGTAGACTTTCTGTTGCAAAAATAAGAGATTCTCCAATAATATTGATACAACTTTCAGGTAAGTCATAACAATATAGAGATTTGTCCATATTTCTCCCGTTTATTGCTTTCAGCTATCCAACATGTATAGTTTAACTCAGGAAACAATAATAATATTTTACTAACCAATGATGGTCCTTTGTATGAAATTATTGCACATGATTATGAATCAATTAAAAAATCACCGATCAGAAACCGCATTTAAGTAACAAGATGTTGATGGTGATAACTTAACTATCACTTTTTAAGTAGATCTAATAGATTACGAAATAAACAGAAACGAATGAACTGAATTTTGTGAAGAACTAAACCATTTTCAAAAGTTAAATTGAAACATTTATATTTACTAACACAAAAAATCGTTGAACTAATAAAATGTATGGATATACCAGAACTGTTGTCAAACCACTAAGGAAGGAACACAACTAAACTAGTAAGTATAATTATAATAAATATAAATAATTATAATAAATCACCCAAGAATTTATACAAAACTTTCACGGAACTCTTATGTGAAAAATGCATCATTTCAGGGGAATAAAGTGGATATATCTACAGTATACAGTTCCCGGTTAGTGTTCATCAGATATTCGATTACAAGAAGTAAATTGCATGTGAATTGTTTATTTGATATTACCGTCATTTTTTTGATAAAATGAAAAGCGCAAACAACATCATCTGGTATATACACACAAGTTTATTCATTTGTTTGCATCCTATTCCCTATTCAAACAGATATATGAACGAAGAATATTTCCTTCATGTTCCACGATTATATATCCAAATGAATAGTCCAGTGTTTAAGTTTAAAGCAATAATATGGTTCAACATTGTAGCATATGAATTCAGAATTGTTTATAGAATACATGTTAAGACGATTATTATGAAATGTTCATTTGAATACGTTTATGTGTTTTAAACTTGAAGAGAACTTATTAAAAACAATGTTCTTGGTTCATATATTTGTGTTTTAACATGGTGGGAGTTTTTTGGCTATTAAAATGTTGTGGTCAACGATTCTTCATATGTTCCTTTTTTTACTTTCATTACTTCAGCTTTGAACCGTCGACTCATATCAGATAGAAACAATGAAATTTCGTACACTTACATAGCTGGAATGCTATTGCCTTCTATGGTGAACTTTCTGGCACTAAAAACACTAACTATATCTGATGTGAGTTTCCATTTAATTTGGATTCTTTGTGTGTTGTGTAATCCTATTAAGAGGAATATAAAAAATTTATGCTAAGTTATTTCATCCCTAAATTTCGGAAAAACTTGTTATGAACAATGTTTTCATCACAAATAAATGTTCACATTTTAGCGGTGATAAACACTAGTTGATAACTGTTTCGTCTATATTAGCCTCTCCACAAGTATTTATTATTATAACTTTTTCAACTAGTACTAAAATATATATTATTCAAAAACTGGTGGTCTCTGGTGATGGGATCATAGATGCACACTGATGAACTGAACCATGTTAAAGAGAAATAGTTATTCAGTGATTCCTTGCTTTTAGTGGCTGTTTAATTAAGATCAATTGTAATTCTAAATGTAATACTGATACGTTTCGGTTACACATGAGACTAATTGTGAGTCAATAATACAATTTATCAATTTTTGTGGACAATTTATTTATACATTTCAAATAACATTCTACTAAATTAGCCAGAATGTCGCAACATCTTGGGACATCGCCATATACAAACTAGAGAATTATCGAAATGAACAATAATAAATATCATCCTTGGACAGAAATTTGCCATTAAGCATCAAATGTATTTTCCTATTATCGTCCAATCTATCCTATGCGTCCCTACTCCAACTTAGAAACTTGCTGTGATCCACTGAATATTATATCAATAAACCTAACCTATAAATCAAAAAGATTTCCATATTATCCTCTTCCTTTATAGTGACGATTTTCTGAGTTGAACAGCTTACATTAAACTAAACCATAAAGTTTTTCTAACCAATATTTCCTAACGCAACTTCTAACCAATTTCCCTGTTTGTCTATTAGTACAATATAACTTACCTCAACTTTTACAGTTTTATTCTATTTAGTTAACTAACTAACTAATTTGTTTGATAAGGCGTTAAAAACTTTGCCATTTAGTATCTTGCCTGTAAAATCACTTTCGCAATATATTAGGTAGATAAACCTTTAGTATGTCGCAATTGCTTTATTTATACATAGATTCTTGATAACGGTTGAGATTTGTAGCTCAGGTGGACGATTTAGTGGATAGGACAAGCTGTGAGTCATATGTAGAGAAATTCAAACACTTCATTTCTGCCTGAAGTTTGTGCTGATGATATTGTTCAGAAGAAAAATCAACCAGATCAGAGAATAAAACCACCTGAATTGACGATAACCTATAATTAAATAAACATCTTACAAAGGATTTCCTTCACACAACAAGAATAACGATGTTTGTAGAATACGAAAACACCATTATGTTTTACTTGTTTCTCCTCAGCCATATAATAAAATGATTCTGATAAACTAATAATTAGAACAACACATATAAGCGAACAATTGTTTTCAATTAGATCGTCATCAGGCTTTACTCTAATATACATGAATATTTATACGAAAATGCAAACTAATCAAGGCAATATGGGTCAATAATCACAATGAAATAGAATAAGTCTCTACACATAATAGGTAAAAATACAAATTGATAGTAGGAAGACAGATGTACTGACAGTGGTAAGAATAATGAAATACGATAACAAAAGTCTTATCAATAGTTAAACGTTGGAAATAGAAGGTCAAATAAACATGGGTAAATAGACTAGGAATAGTAATCACAAAACATGAAGATCATTACGTAATAAGAAGTGTGTAAATAATTAGATAGTGAAGAATACAAACAGAAAGAGGTGGAAAGTTACAAACAAATAATGGATGCGAAAATAAGGTTAACGATAACAAAAATAGAATAGAATAAATAAATAATGTCAATAATAGAAATCTTTAAAAAATCGTTAGTTAAGTTATAACTGGCCATGGAAGAGATAGGGGAGTTACGAATTTCTTCTGTACACGCAAATTGGGGTTATATGTACGAATTCCAATGGCTTCAGCTATATGTAGGAGGTGGGAACGAACTCCGTTGGGAAATGATGGAGGTATACGATAAATAACTGGAAATGATTTCGATTTATCTACAGCATGACCGCTATCAATGAGATGTGTCAAGATAGAACTGCGAATAGATTTTATCTGGCCCTTCATGCCTGATGACGATCTAACTGAAAACAATTGTTCGCTTATATGCGTTGTTCTAATTTTCACAATGGGAATCTTTAATAAACTAATAATTGTTAAAACTACTAGAAAAATTTTTAAAAATGGATTTTGTTTTACCAAACAATACATTTCTTAAACCGCTCGTGTAAAACTAAATCATTTTCTGCTGGTTGTTTGAATCTTCCCAATACAAAAAATGAATTAAACTTCATTCCACTGCACAAGCTAGTAGTTACATAGACTCAGTAGCTAAGTAGATAACGCGATGGCGTTCCAAGAAAATGAAACTGGGCTCGAGTCCAGGAGTGAACATCAACTCTAGGATGCAGATACACCCAGCTGACGAGTTTTAGATAGGGCAAACGCGGGTTCTGAATCCCACTGCCAGATATCAACCATCTCTACCTGTAATGTTCATGTAAAACTATTCAAATTAAACTAATTTTGATCAATCTCTTACAAGTAACTCTGATATATTGGTAAAATCAATCTCATTACGAAATATAGGAAAGGGATACATAGAACAATAGGAAAATGAATTTTTCAGAAAGATATTTAATTTTAATCATATTCTAAAACGTTGAGAATTGGTTTTTCTGTTGTTTACGTCTGATACTAAACGAGTAAAAGCCTGACTAATGAATTCACTTAAATAAATATATCGAATTTTAGTCCACTAATTATGATGACATCTTACAGTTTCAATGAATCATCTTATATTGTTTAATGGTGATTTTGCATGCAGTTGTCTTGTTTATATCTTGTGTCAAACAACTAATACTTACTGATATTTCACGATGTGTATTTTCCAACATATTTTCAGTAAAAAATATGTAAATGACTACATTCGAAATCTTGTCGTACTTGCCTATGGACGGATACTTAACCTGATGTATACAGTTAAAGATGATAAATGGATGATTCTTCCCTACCTTTGAAATAACCATTGAATATGACGTACTGATAATTGTCACTTCCGGTCAACATGATTTACAACCAACTTGAGTTTTTTATGAAATCCTACATCTAACTGATTCAATCTAGTTTGGTTCCAAATAAAATAGAAGTTTTTCGATAAAATTCATATGATAAGTAGAAAACAAGTGATGTAATATACTGAAGAACTTTGTCATGAGAAATGATGTTTTTCTTTAATATATAAAATGTAAAATTTAACGGGTGAGCATACAATCAGTGGGTTCAAGTGTTGATGATAATTCCAAACGAATCAAAATTCATCCAAATGACAAGACCTAGATAAGAAGGAACTTGTGTTTTAGATTCTTCCGTTATTCAAAATAACTTATTGTAATGTTATTGAAAATGCCATTATTCTTAATGAACCTAACCATAACCATAGATTGTAGTTATGCTAAAAAAGATATTGGGTACTAGTAGATTAGTACTTCAACAGGGCCCAATTTAAAATTTAGGGAAATTAGGAATTTAGCTCCAAATATATTTATATTATCTTACATTAATTACCATTATTTTATCTTATTAGTACTGTAAAATAATAATAACTGATTCAGTACTTTAATTTTACACACAGTTCCGAACTGTAATTAATTTAACTCGAACAATGCTAGATCTCATAGATCGTCAGCGTTCAGTTGAACTAAGATCACAAACTGGATCGAAATCAGTTGGTGGGAGCTGTTCTGATATGAGGTTAGTAGTACATTTTTATAAAAACATTTAGGTAACATAAAGTTATCACCAGCATTCTATTCTTATGATCACGAGTATAACATATGACTATACAAGATTTAGAAGTGAACATTCACTCTACGATTGAGATTGAGTAATTATCCACCATTTTATCAAAGTATCAATAATTAGTGTAGTTCACAATTTAGACTAGTCGAGAGATGACAAGTAAGAAACAGTAAAAAAGACAATTTAAACGTATGTATTTACTACATATGAACAGTTTGTAGTTCAGGATGAAACTTATTTGACTTTTATATATAAATCGGTCAAGTGATGTGTTTCTAAGAGTTTAACAACTATCAGAATAGCATAATTTGTAAATCATTCTAAGTAATTTCATTCATCAGACAGAATAAATAGTCACTGATCCCAGTAAATGGGAAATACCAAACTAGATAAGTCAGCTGTATGATGCTCCTTGGTTTTCACAAGTTGATAGTGACCAATCACAGGACCTATCTTAAAATACCGTCACTCCTTAGAAGCTAATATTCGTTAGGTTGCATTATTATTTCATAGGTCGTACGCATGTATCTACATTTTTTTATTCTACTTTTTCGAATTTCCGCTATCCAGGTTTATTTTCCTTCTAATCTTAACCGTTATTTACTCTTTGAAATATTGAATGCTAAGCATTCTACCATTTGTTTTTCCTGCTCTAACAGTTCATCATTTGGTGCACCTCGAAATCTTCCGTTAATTGCTATGCAACGTCCAACTATAGATTCTGAATTATTATACGTAGATATGGATGATTCAAAGCTTTCAAGATCAAGTTTAGGTGAGAATTACAAGTTTATAAAATACTTGTTTGATTACATGTTTTAGAATAAACCATAACAATGCTTCAGAGTACAAAATGAATTGTTTCGTTTGTCAGTTTCTTAAAAGTAGTTCATTATTCTTTCTTTCCTTAATGTTTTATCGGTTTTATCAGGTTAATTGTCAGGAAAAAATTATTTCGTAAATGACAGTTGAAGAATGATAAACCGAACGAGACAGACATGATGCAGTCTAAATGTGTTTGCTACTGTTGGCAAGCATAATTAGGTTCATTCAATTACAAATTATTACTAGGAAACTAGATAGCTAGTAACAAATTTAAATAAAATACGCTTATCTAGACAGTTCGACTTACAATGATTTATAATGCATCGCATTCAAACTAATTGGTTTACGAAGAAAAACTATGATCCAAAAATAGATTTACCGTAAAGGAGGAACATGCTCTACAATTTTATTCCATGTGAATTTTATTAGTATTGAGAAGTATATGACAGTTGTAGAATTTTCACAGTTTAATGCACGAACTGATCCTGGATGGACCTCGTTTAAAACTGGGAAGCACAAGACAGGCGTTTTGTCGTAGTGTGGGACTCCTTATTAGTACTCACTAACGACCTCACCACACGGAATCGTACTAAGCGCATTCAGCCTCTCGTATGAATTTCTAATCTCTAAATCACTGAGCCTGCATTCAGTGGTGCATAGTTAGCTTCAGTTGATTCGTGGTATTGTGTGATCGCCTTTTATAACCTAACATAATAAGACTTGAACATTTTTCACAACAAATGACTTTCAAGCACACAGCAAAACCTATTCCATATCTTACTAAGGATGGACACTTATTTACTATACTATAGATTTGTTGCCGTATATGTCCTAAATTATTCTGGTTTCTATTACTTCTTTGCAGAATCTAGAACCAGACTCCCAAACGGAGTGTTGAGCTATTTAATTTCAAGTGATACAAAATTTTCCCTTGTGACTATGGCTTTCAATTGTGCCTGTTTACATATCAACACTTAAATCAACTACTTCTACATTTTTAGACCCTTTTTTAATAATCTCCAGAAAACTTAACATCCAGGCTAGGCTGGGTCTACTTCCGATTACATTTGTATCATCTAGTGTCATATTTATATAGGACTGTATTCTTGCATCAGTTAAACAACTATGTTACTGCTTTTGTGTATTAGTTTTATCAAAACTTAAAAACTAACGGTATTTAAGACCCTCTACTAAATACATGGTATAATACGCAAATATAAGATAATGTTTTATAAAGTGACATTAAACTTAATTCCTAAATATTGTAAACGTCTTTGATTGAAACGGTTTAATAGATATCAGTGTAACCTACTCGGTACTGTAGACATCGAACCCTCTAAAATTAATCCTGTGATGAAGTATTTAATTTTAACCATACAGGAAAAGTTCACAGAACTAAACAGTAGCATGTTACTTCCCAGTATACTGTGAAACTGCGTCTCAAAGTAAGAAATATACTCTAGAATTCCAATAATACAAATTTTTACATAATTAAGAAACAGGCGATCTCATTATCCATCTATAATGTTAGTGTTTGCATGATTATTCATAGTCTCCTGAAGCAAACAAGATCTTATACAATATTTAATTGTTTTATTACATCTCATAGATTATCGTCGAAGTTCTGGCAGTGAAGTCACTGGAGCTAGTCGGTGGAGCAGAAACAGCTTGTTAATTCAACGGTTACAGGCATCAAAACATCGATCAGAAAGCCTATTGTTCAATACAAAGCACAGAAACTGTAAGTTTCACTGGAGTGTTCATATTATGCATATATAGTGATTTTAAAAATTAACAGCAATCATATACCCCATCATAAGGAAAATAACTAGCTACGAATATTAAATGCATCACTATCAGCTTTTGTTCGTGAAATCTGATTTATTTCACAAGTGTAAATAGCCCACATAATTTGGTAGATAGAACTAGTTTACCCCAAAACATAGTTGATAGATTCACGTGTTTTTGCGCACATTATAATAATTAGCTAGTTTGGTTTTATGATGTAGTCACTCAACCGTTATTTCTGTAACCTGAAGACCTCATAGTTAAGTTCTATTGAGATCCAAGTTCCCCTTTTCCACACATCATACATAACAAAATCCCGAATGACTAGATTTTCGTTAAATTGGTAAGGACTTAAGTGTAGCTTTCTGACTCTTCATAGTACACGAAAATCTGTTGAAAGGCTATTGAAAACTTCATAAAGCTGGGAGGTTGATTTGTTTGAGTTTGGGATTTTTCAGTGTACTACCCACTTCACATAAAGTATAGTACACAAACTTCAGATACTATCTAGTAAACATGATACATGGAATCTATTTGTTTGCATAATTTAAATATAGCCCAATCCTGACCTTCATCATTAATGCGTTACTGTTTAAACACCACTCCTTAAACTTAGTTAGTTATAGAAATTTACTTCGAAACAGCTAACTACTGACCATATTATTATTTTTTTAAATGATGCTTACAGCATTTATTTCAAACTTCTCAATATTGACTTTTTAGAGTACTCTGGTATCATAAGAGGTTATAACAAACACTTTGCTTCATTATTTTACTTAATGACCTATAATGAAAATATGTTGGACAAAAATAAATTGTAACCAGCCTCTAGGTTTATTAATGCAAAACACTAACTCCGACAAAATTCAATCGTAATCTCTCTATATGAATTAAATAAAGAAATTAAAAAGATTTACAAAAACGATATAATTTATTCACGAGTAAAAGAGAGGGTGATGAAGCATGAAAATTAGTGTTCGGCATACAGAATGATAAGTGTATAATTACTTTCTGAAACCATTTAATTAAGAAGTATTTTCTAATCAGAATGTACTTTTAAATAAAAACGAAAACAAAAAATTGTTTGAACACACACGCATAAAAGTATCTGTTAGTTACCTTAATGAATGGATATACTGATTTTCTTTTTTAATTTGGTGAATTTAATCATTCCGATTATTAGTTGTCAAGATAGCGAAAAGAAGGATCTTTTAATATGAACTTGTTCCATTCATTTCTTATTGAATTCCTTGATTCTACTTTGTAATTATGATGAAACCAGTAAAATACAATACATTTGTCAAAAACCTTTATTTCGCGGTTATTTTTATATTTAGCCATTGGTGATCATAGATTTTGGAATGAAAGTGCAAGTAATCCAAATTTTAATTATCATGGACATTCAAGTACAAATTCTCGTATAGGACCAAGTCCATTTTATAATTCAAGTCCAACTTGTGACGATCTATATAAAATGAGAAGATATTCTGGAAATATTTTAACTCGATCAACAGATAATCAAGTGAATGTATATGTTAGTAAACTCATGTTTTATAGAAAAAATTATATACTAAATGGAGTTTTTTTTCAAATTTCAATTATTATTCTTAGAAAAAAGTGAAGCATGTAGTGGGTAGTAACAAGATGCCTAGGAAGAAACTGATTCCACTTTACGTAGACTGTTAAGATAACAATAATTAACCACTTCAGATAAAAAGGACAATCAAGTTGGTAGTTTTTAATATAAATATTATTATGTTGTAAGATGTATACTCTACTTTAAGAGACTGAATCACTTTCGCTAACCAGTATATACATAAAATAATCAGTAACCAGTTTCCTTGATAAGCATTCACTGAAAAGTCTAGTAATTAACTCTAGATGACTCAGTAACGGTATGTGAAAAGAATTGTTGATGAAATTTCCTATAATATCATACGTATTATTGTAGCGACTATTCAACACCAAGATTCTTGAATAGACAATTAGAAATAAAAAAATAAACAAAGCAACAACTGAACTTGTTTGATAGTGATGTTTGTTTCATGAATAAAACATTTGCTTACTAACCACAAATCGTCTCATAATTTGTGAATTTCAGTAGACTTTGCTTACTTTTTACACATACGAAGGGATGAAACATTTTATTAATTTGTATTGAGTATGTGTCTAATAATTAGGTAACTGATCTATAATAAGATCAAACCTTATGTGATTTACACAATCCATCATTAAATATAAAATTTTTTGTAAAACTACGTCCAGTAATGAAAAGCATGAATAATTGCTTCGCTATTTAGCGATATAGAAACCTCTATGATACATATTAGTTTACAGTGCTAATAAATTAAACATTGAAGCAAATCAATCAAATAGTTTCTTTCAATTTTTCAACGACTCTCTAGTAGGTGTTTTTGCTATGTGAAAAATCAGCTTCATAGCTTTGAAAGTATGCCACCAAGTGTCGTTATACAACCGAATAGTTGTTGCAGCTATTTCTTCACCACGAGAACACTGGTTAAATTTATGGTCAATCAATAAAATCAAAGAAGAGCAATGTCTATTTTAAACTTATTCATTTTTGTTAAAATTTAGCAAAATTTATAATCATACTCTCTTGAAAACCATCAAAAAAGAAGCATTAGGCAAAAAATTAAATTCTAAACACCTAGATATTGATGTGGCCATTTACTTCGTCAAATAAGAGATATATGACTCAATGGCACACATAATTCATTTGAGTTTACTGTAAATTTATGATTTTCAACTGGTAAAGAGATAGAATAATGTCCTGTTCCTAAATCAAATCAACAAATAATGTCATTTTAATATTCTTACTTTTTTTATTTCAAAGGATAATTTAGGTTCCTTAAATGTTCCAAGATACAACAACGGTTTTCTAGACCCTAGAAGACATAGTTATGGTTTTACACCTAGTACATCAACGAAATCTTTAATTACAGTCAATGTATGCGAAGGTCCTTTTGTTACTCCGCTCAGTCACCGTGGTTCAATACGTCGAAATTCTGGTTGGAGCTGTGGTCAGTTTTCTGCTTCTCAAGTAAATCTAACTATTTCTTTAAGTAATCAATACGATCTGTTTTTTATAATAAGCATCGTGTGTATTTTGTCTGTTATCTCAAAGTATAGGTTAGTACCAGTAAAGTTAATAGTACAAACACTGCAAGAGAACTCCGACAGTATAAAGTCAATTACAATTTCTAATATTCATTTCTTTAAATCTGACAGTTCACCAGAGAATACTCTCTTTATTATGAAAACTCAAAGACTTCTAGTTTATTGCAAAGTGGAAAAATAGGTACAAGTACTACTGCACTTTCGACGTATTACATAACTTCAGTGAGTTAAACAAAATTGAATCTTTAAATAAAGGGAGAATAAATGTACAAGGATGGTTACGTGATATTTCCAAAGAATATACTCCTTAGTTTACTAATTGTTGACTTAAAAGCACTAATGAAATTGTTTAAATAACGAAAAATTGAGTGGAAATCTAATTTTTCAATAAAAGTTTAAATGAAGTAACCAGTGAGAATTGGATTTTATGGAAAAAAATATAGGTTTCTTCATAAAAGCTTTTATACTTAGTGTGCCTAATCCGATTTTATAGCTCAAATATCATTTCAGGAATCCGAAAAATCCCTTTAGTGGATTTTGTTCGGTCAGATTATTTTCATCAATAGGAATTTTCATTGAATCAAATCAAAGATCAAATTAGGTCAGATGGAATACCGTTGAACACCAGGGAGCATAAGACAGCTATTTCAATTTAATTCTTTACTCCTTGGCAGAATATCCCACCTCTTTATACCAGATTAAAATCAGTCGAATTAAATAGAGCTAATAACTCCATACTACCAATGAAAAAAGATGTAGAAACTGTCATTGTATTTTAAATCAGCATTCATCAAATTTGAGTGATTAGTTTGATAGAAACTGCACGCTGAGTATACAGAAGAAATTAAATACAAAAATCCTGATTACAGTGATATCGAAAATTGAAATTTAACAGCATAGGTTTGTGTAAATTATTAAGCTTTTGATTAAGGAGTACCACAATAGGACGAAACGGTCGTCCAGTTCTTCAATGGTGGTCTTACATCAATCGGTTCATGATCTCAATCAAAATTGAAATTTAAGTAATTCCACTGTTTTACCCTGCAAACTCATCACAGCCTTTTCAGAAAAGTAACTAAAATCAGCATTATCAGAGAATTTCTGAAGTTTAACAACAAAATCACACTAAAACCTTGTCCAATCATGTTCATTTTATTTGAGCAAGGTCATAAGGCAGTCTGATGTTTTACTCGTTCATAGTGTGAGAAATATGAGAGTGTATTTATGTATTTGGATTATATTATCACCAGAAAATAGTGAGGAAACGATGCCTCTGGCTATGACGAAGAACAAATTAAACGTTAATAACTATTATAAACCTAATAGTACATGTGGGTAAGAAATTAAACTAATAGAAGTGTCTAATCAGATCATTTACTTAGTTGCTGGGTTAATTTTAAAGATAATCTAGACATAATTTCCACATAAGAATCTTATGTTGCTGGTACTAAGTTGAAAGTTGTGGATATAAATGTTTATATGTTTATTTGTTAATCAACAATTACTACAAAGTAACCAACTGTGAGTTTTTGACCTTTAAAATCCAGCATTTTGTGTCATACATATGTAAAAACGTTTTGATTGTACATCAAGTCTCCATAGATGATGATATTGTGTTAGTAAGCTCGTAATGAATGTGGAAAGGACTTTAAAAGAATAAACACTTAAACCTTCCATTCGTATCAGTTGATTTGACCGTTCCATATACTATTTAGGTTATTCAATATGCTGCGACCTCACCAAAATTATGGAAGTGAATATAGCCATGAATACTTTTGCGGATGTATATACTTACCATGAAACAGATTACTAGACGCAAGGCGTTTAATAGGTTGTAATGATTGATGGAATGATTATATACATCAGTTAACTATTTCTGTAAAAGTTTAGTGCATTCAGTATACATACCATGGTAATTTTCATTAAATTACAATAATAACCAACAAATTTTTATCTCAACTTATTGCTTGTGGACACATTAAAATGAGAAATGGATTCTTCATAAACGTCCATAGATTTGTACAGTTCAAAAGACTATATGAATAAAATAATAGTTTGAAGATAAATACATTAATGAAATCAATATTATCAGAAGGGGTTTGTGGAGATTATAGAAATTTCACAGACTGAAATCATGAGTCAATTGAAGCTAGAGCACCATGGAAAACCTGGAAGCACTGGACGGCCGTTTCGTCCTAGTATGGGACTCCACCGCACTGTGCATCCACGATCCCGCACCCCGCGAGATTCGAATCCAGGACCTATCGGTCTCGCGCCGGGCGCTTCGTGGATTGGTTGAAGTTAGACGTTAACACCACTGGATGCCGGCTCAGTGGTCTAGTTGGTTAAGCGCCTGGCGCGAGACTGATATGTCCTGGGTTCGGACCTCGCGGGGTGCAGGATCGTGGATGCACACTGCGGCGGAGTCCCATACTGGGACGAAACGGCCGTCCAGTGCTTCCAGGTTTTCCATGGTGCTCTAGCTTCAATTGACTCATAATTTCAATCTGTGAAATCAATATTATTTGAAGATAATTTAAATAAAATCAATTACTATTAAAAACCCGGAAGCACTGGACGGGCGTCTCGTTCTAGTGTGTCTCCTCAACACTGCGCATCTACAACCCCGAACGCGGGATTCAAACCCAGGTTTTCAATGGTGGTCTAAGATTCACCGAATCATGATCTCAATCAAAAACTTAGCAATTCCCACAAACACTCACTAATTATTTTTAAAAATTAAGTATCACCAATATTCTCAGAGTATAAGACTAAAATTTTGGTTGTACAATCAGTGAAACAAACGATTCTGTAAAAACGTTATGAAAAGTTACTTACTAAACATAAAAACTTATGTCGATTAGTTTGACAAAGTAATCTGTACACAAGGTCAAATTATTAATCAGTGTGTTCATGACTTTACAGCAAAACACTTTAGAATTAACCTTCCACAATATAAATATGCATAAATTTCAAAAATTCAAACTTCAGATTTAAACAATATGATATTCTCATGAATTTGACCAAAAATAATCGTTTTCTGCATCAACAAGCTACTGTCATAAGTATTGCAATCTGTAGAATGGTTAATACTCCAACCAAACAGGAACACAGACAAAGACCAATAGTCTTAAGCCATCGCTTTAAAAATTGTTTATCATTGTGTAAAAATATCACACTTTAATTCATATCAAATGACAATCTATTGAAGCACTCAGTTCGTACAAGCTGTCAAAACTAACAGAATTTCACAGTTGTATGGTCTCGAAATAAAACATTTCTTCATTTCTCTAATTTGCTGCCTAGAGATGAAACAAACAATAACAGACTGCTACTCTCCGTTCTAAGTAGTTTCATGGTAGTTAGAATACTCAGTCGTTAATAAAATGGTCTATATACTTACTACTCTTCAAGATCATTCTGGACAACCAGGTAATATTAGTAGTCCTCACAAAATCAGCGACTTAGAACATAAGCCTGCACTTGGTAAATGAGTTACACTAATTTATACACATTTCTAAGTGGTTTACATAAGTTTAACAGCAATATCGGTAATCAAATAAAAACCTGACTTTAAAAAGTATATTTCCAGTTTTTTCAAAAAGGGGGTTAATATGGTAATCAAATAAATTTTGATAAATATATGTCCTATTTTTTCTGTAAAACAATAGTCACTTCTCCATATAGTTACAACAAAATTTGAAAATTACACAGCAAAATACAATCAGTACTCCATACATACATATATATATGTATATTTTTATTCCGAAAATCAGGTCATGAAACCCACTGATGAAGATATTCAAAGACGTTGCAGCTTGAATGCTATAGGTGATCTGCTGGTGAGCTAATTAAGTGAAACAAAGTTAAATTAATACTAACATTCATAGTGTAGTAATAAAATGAAATACATTAAGTTATCATAAAATGCACACCTACAGTAATATTTGTATACGATGTTGTAAATTTTAGTTACTGTACATATAAACGTATATATATATTGCTTTTTATCTAATTTCCTTCAAATATCGTTGTTACTTTCTTGTCCATTCACTTAATGGTCAGTAATAATCACTAATAATATTCCTTTTTATTGATTTCGAACATTTTCATTTTCCCGACAAGTTGTCTAATGTATGTTTTACAATCATTATTCTTTCACACTACTTTTCAGTTTAGCATGGTTTGTTTAACTAAAATAATAATTGTTTGTGTATATGTTATGCAATTGTGAGACAAATTAACTAAAATCCATTTGTTTAGATTAATTTTCTTTTTCCCAATTCCATTTTACAAATATCGTAATGTTAAAAAAAAAACCCCATAATAAATTCAGAGCATTAGTTCACTGAACTCAACCAAGCGAATCTAAATTCACTAGTTTACCTATTCGAATTCAATAAATTTTCTGCAACGTGTAAGTTTCTGTCTCACTCTCAACTTGATTGACTAAACAGGTTATAGCTTCTTTATTAAACCTTCAAAATCCTATCTAATGAGCAAAATTACTTGTTGATTCCTCCCGATAAGATTGTTTCGATATTCCTAACAGAGTTCGAGAATAAACCACATAATATTCCTAAATAGATTGGTCTTATGAATTTTTAGGTATCACTACAAAGGGTTGACTTGATAATTTCAAATGTAATGAGCATTGGATGGATTGTTATGAATAAAAATAATTTATTTGTAATATCCTAATCAGTACGAAAACTAAATTTTCTAACGTTTCGTGACTTAGTGTAAACCACTTCTTAAAAGAATAAATAAAAATCAAATTAACCCAAGTTTAAATAGTACGAAGGAACAAAGCACAAATATTTGTTGCTATCAATCAAAAATCAGGTCCAACCTAATCAATGTCATATTACTCCGGTCGAAGAGATTTATGTGACTATGAATTGTTTCTTGATTAATTTTCTAAATAGCTCATTAGCACTTTTAAAGAGAACAGTGTTAATTTTTGTACTGATTAGGTAAATTCATTTTTTCATTAATTTATAAGATGTACTTCATCAGAACTATACTCAGTGCCATAACTTGTCTGATAGTTAAATTAAGAACTACATCCTGTAAGATCAAGCGTATTGAGATAATTAACATGAGTATCATTCAACATAACAAATTATCACTTAGTTTCATTGTAATACAGTATGTCATGACTGACAAAATTTAACTCATACAATTGATCATATTAATCATTGCGCTGATGCAATGAAGTAGTAAATGAGTTTAATACTAATATAGTATGAAGATGTCTGATGTATGTATTTACGAACAGTTTAGTGATGATTCTTAGCTCAGCAATTAAACACATATAGGTGAAAGAGCACTTAAATCGTTCAAGATTTTAGAAGTCCCATTCTTCCACCAAAAAAATTATGACTGTTTAGAAATCTATAATACCAGCTTAGTGTAAGTTAATAGTTAGCATATGTGATACCATATCAACTCCTACTTATTACACTAAGCAAAGTCAGGCTGTAGAAATTGTCTATTACTTACTTTGTCTTATTAGTCAACAGTACAACTATATACTAAACAATTTAAAATGGTCCCACACACTACTGTTCACTGTATATAAGTAATCAAATTTCAATGTTAAATTAGGACATCAATTCATTTCAATTGAATACTTCTAAGTACTTATGTTTTTCTTTACATTTTGTTTTTAACTTCTAATTAGGTATCAACATTCAAGAAAGTTTTGTGAAATATTTACTAAATTAAAAGAAGGCGCTTTTTATCAAAATTATAATAAATAATATTGTTATTATTGTTTTATTATCAGATTTATATTTATGTTCATTATTTTGATGTGTATTCAACTTCAATTTTAACTCCATGTTTACAAGTTATGTAAAAATAAATAAATAAATAAATAAAAGAAAACGATTCAATGTTCAATAATCTTCCAGTGAACTTTCCTTTATTGTCTATTTAATAAATTGTAAAAATTTGAATTCAGTAACGGGAAAGAAATAATGTTCCGTATAACATATTTTTGTTTTCTTTAAAAAGTAAGTGAACTTTTTTCAAATATTCTTAAACATTCAAAAATGTTCCACTTAAGTTTTGGAAAAAATAAATCGATGTGACAAAAACATTTCTCTTTATTTTTGTTAAGTAACACATCTTTATACGGATACTTGTATGAAAAAAAAATTTGTTAGATGTTTAAAATTTAAGGATCTTGAGTTATACAGTTGTTAGTGTACAACTTAAGTGTTCAACTCTTGATTCGTACACTTCAGTTAAAGCATCAGAATAATTTTTCTTTAATTACAATAAAGAAGAGAAATTTGCAAGGTTACGGTAGATCTGGCAACCATTATTAATATTAGTATTAGGAAGAACAAAAAGAAGGAATCTAACCGTACGAAAATGACTTCCACCATATAATTCATTCATTTTTGTCTCTCAGCTTATTTATTTTAAACAGGCAAGAATAATGTAGATAAATAAGCATAGATATGTTTATATATTTATAGGAATTTCATATGAATGAAAGAAAACTATAGGCATTATCTGGATTTATATATAACAAATATATTCACAATGACACATAAAATAGACGCATAAGTTCTGAACTTTGCATCAATTTACATAACAACTTGTCATGTAGATTTATGATAACGACTGTACTTTCAATTATTGTTTATTACATCCCAAACGTGTAAAGCTGCTTCGAGTTAAAATATTTGATGAATAACCGCCTTATTCAGAACTTTCTTGAAACAAATGATCAAGCATTAGATTAGAATTTCGGGAAATTTAAAGTAGTTAGTAGTATTTATACTTAGTATTTTCCCGAGTGCGAATAGTATAACTCTGAGACGACCAGTGCTGACAAAATATTTGAAAATACGCTTGTACTATGAATTTTTACCCAATGTGCATTAGCAGATTGCGAAAAGTAGACTACAATGAGGAAAACAATGGGTTACTAAACGAGAAATCCAGCTTTCCTTCGCATCTTTGAATGGGTATGATTTGAAATCACAATATAAATATGTCATTTGAAAATTACGTAACACAAGCACTTAGTTTATTCGCTTCTGACAGTTGATGGATGCAAAGATTACTCCAGTATTGATAACAAAACAAATTTGTCAGCTCAGGTGACTAGAACTATGGTACTACTTCGAATACCGTACACATACTAAAGGCTAATAATAAACACATCCTTGGCGAGAGATACATAGCTAGTTAAAAAAGGCATCGAGATATTGATGACGCCATTTTGCTTACCAAGACTTGTAAGCCAGCATGCGTTGATAATATGATTGCTCTGAATCATAAATAAAATTCTACAATTCTAACTTGTGGATGTTAAGATCTAAGTTCCTCCAATAAATAAACCTTAGGTGAGGAGAATTACTGTGTTAATCACTCAATTATTGAAGATTTTGCAAATTGATTTTCTCATAGATGTATTCAACTTGACATCTTAATTGCACATTCATTTTCTTTAATTGATATGGTTTTTTAACTTGCCATAATTGCCAAAATTAGTGTGATTAAATCTTATCACATTTTCTTAGTATTCAAAACACGAATGACGCGAAATCTACCATTTAAATTTACAACACGGACTAACTCAGACATGATTTCATAAGCTTACCCTAATATATTGTGCGCCATAATAGTGCATAGGAATGAATAGCTGTAGATATTGTAGAAGTTATTACGAACAATTGTTAGAGCAGGTATCCCTACTTTATGAATTTGCTATGGGGGTTCTAAAACTTAGCAAATTTATCTGCGTTCAACACATTTTAATAAGAGGAATTATACTACTTTAATTATTGTCAGTAGCCTAGTAGTGTTGATTCAGATTTCACAAGAATAGCTGGCAGGCATTAATCCACGTTCAAAGCCTATATGAGAAGAGAAAACTTCTAAGCCTTAACTGACAGACTGAAGTTAATTTCATGAATCGTTTAGAATAAATCTAATAATAAAGTATGCACAATTTCCCGACATCTGCCTTATTGATGTTTTTAAGAATAATAGGTTTATGAGACAATCTTAACATTGGTACAGTATAGAATTATCAAGATAAATTGCGCATTATTACAGCAAGTATCTACTTAACATATATTCAAACCTTAATCATTCGAAATATATCCTGGAAATGCTTTTAATAGTCAGTATGTTTCACTCGTATCCAATTATCAGTTTTCCACCAGTTCAGCTGCAATAACCATTTTCATTTATAGAAAGTATTAGTGAGATAATCTGGTCTTCATACTGTTAAATTATAAAATAGCTTTTTCAAGACTATAGATGTTATTCTCACGTAAATGTTTGGCTCTAGGTTTCTTTTAATGAACAAGGAAGTGTAACCATCTTCAGTGAGCATTCGCCATATTTTACGCCACTTTCCGTCCATTATGTCCTTGATATGTATTCCTCTGGAACTCAAGCTATAGTGCATGGGTTAAGTTTCTGTCTTCAGATTCGAAAGAGTTCAACTCTAGAAATTCATATACCTTCTGATCCAAGTTGACCTTTTATATGCAAAACATTGTGGAGAACCACTTAGTTTTCGTTTTAGCATCAACATCATAGAAACGAATGCAATGATCGACTTTAGTCAAGCTAAAATTTTTATATTGATTGCTACTTACTCTACTAGTCCAGTTTGTTTTTCAAATGTTTTCAACTATGTAGTTGGGCTTTCCATATTTTCCAAGTGGGAAATTATGATCTTCCTTCTTTTTTTAACTGCAAGATTCGGTTCAAAACAAAGGTTTGATTTATTAGTTGTGTTATGAATGCGGGACGTGATCACTCCGAAGATAACTGCGATACCGTATACACCAGCTCTACTCGCTTTTACATCCCCTACTTGATTATGGTATAAGACGATATACAACTACCGGCACTTGAACGTGTAGAACCCCACAGTCGCATATCAGAAGACAAGATTCAAGGGAAAAGATCATTCGGTAAGAATCAAAAATGCACAGAAAAACGTGGGTGTTTATAATTATTAGCGTTGGCTATGACATCATTATAATCCAGCCAATCAGCAAGGAGGTAATTTATGCTACCGTCTAATAGTAGCATGCCACGTTGATAATCTAGAAAGCTCTGATTGGATGGGAACACTTCGGCTTCGTTAGAGCCTCTGGAGGCCTCAACGTGCTTCCCGAAGACGTCTCAAGAAACGCCTCTACTCCCCTAGCCACTACAAATGAATAAACTTGTTAAGATTTATTGGACAAGACCAAAAAAGATTTAGCTTACATTCAATTTAATTCGGTGATTATTAACTACCAAGATTTATCATAGTGAAATAACCAATACAAGAGAAATGTGTCGAGAACTAGGTAACTAAAAACGACTGATAAACAATGATCGTAAAGATGCATCGTAAATCAATATGAGGACTAAAATTTGATCTTCGTTCTTGTTTGTTGTATTTGAGAGTATTATTACCAACGGGTTGCACGAACAACTTTAGTTAATTTACAATGATATTGAGCTTATCATGAAGATTGATTCCCATAAAATTAAAAGTATCTGTGTATATCCAAGTTAATTTAGTAAAAGTATACTTTAGTATTGGATTTTATGTAATTGTATGTATGGTGCCATATATGTTATCTGATATGATAATCCAGAAGTATAGCTATTTATCCTCCCAACGGACTGTTTTGGATTTCAAGAGAAATATCAACCCTGGAGTGTAGACGAACCTAGCTGACGAGTCTCCGTAAGAACGAGACGTGTTTACTTCATTGCACTGCTAACCACAATCCAAATACACCAAGATCTCCGAAACTTACATTACTTTAAGTTTTCAAGTGTTTCATAAAGTTTTTCTCGTTGGATATGACTAAACCGTTAATAGACGTTTCTCATAAAAAATATTTTTAGTTTCTGACAACGCGTAATATTATCTAGGAATTACTTCATAAATTAATTGGAATGTTTATTAATCAATAAACATATAAAAAAAGTACATATTTTTTCAGTACAATTCAGTTCAGAATAAAATGTCGCCAAGCATAAAACTCCCACTAGAAACTGATAGCAACCGAAAAAACCCAGGGAGCATTAAATACCTGAGTATTGTCGCCTGAGACCACTCATAGCACTGAATCCATAACTGTCAAGTGCCGCAACGAGGATGATGATACTAACCGATTAAATCCCAAACCAACAGTCTGCATTTCAAACTTTGTGAATCCGCAAGAGAGCATGTGATTCTCAGTTCATTGTGAGAATGAGGCAACTAGATAAGCATCAATTAGTGTGATCCACCTAACATTCCGAATGGTGACATGAGTGTATATATGAAAACTGCAAGATATACTCTTATCAAAATCAAAGGACTATTGAACCACTATTTCCAATCAAGTTTTGGCTAGTTACATCTAATTGTAAATAACTGTTTACGTGCTTCGGAACCGAGAGTAATAACAGCACACGGTATGTGTATTGTAAGCTTATCAAGGCTTTTGTTTGACTGTACTGACATTACGTATGTAGTCCCTAGTTTGCTTGTCACACAAACCCCATCACCCATATTTACGGTCATAGATTATCTAATACTGAGATGTTTTGCTTTAGTTATTCAGTGGTCAAATGATGTTCTGCAGAGATCAAAATAGGCACAGAGTTGATTTGGTGAATAACCTCATCCAGTGTTAATGAAAACATAATCGAGTAACTCATTTAAACCTTACATATCCGATTTATGGTTGTGGTAAAACCGAAGATCATGCCATGACCACTTGGCTATTTTTTAATTTGAACACATGAATATTGGTACAAGAGTGCGCCAAATATATATGCGCCACACAAAACAATGAGAATTCAAAGAGAAGGAGAAAGAAAAAAGGTAAGGAACGTAAAACGAAAAAAGAGAACGATAACGAAGAGATTGGTGTAAGGTAGTGAAATAATGATAATAATAGTAATAATGGGGGAACGGAAAGGTACAATCAGAAGAAATCTTTCAGTCAAGGAAGATACAACCACTTTTTATGAAGAAAGTAAAAGAAATTTACAGCAGGATCGTCACTGGCTTCTATTCTGAGCCATATCTGATAACGTCTCTAGCCACTATGTAGCACCATCTCTAGGACCGCAACCAGGGAGTCGTGAAGGACCAACACAAGCCAGTCCTTTGCAGCTTTCCTTCATACCACGACACCATGTCATACACTGACCACCTCTCCGCTTCTTCCAACCAGTCCCAGAGTCGGGAAATAATGCACGACGTATTACCCACTGCTCGAATGGAACAATGGAGAGAGGTGGTTGTATGCCCTCACTCTGCCTGAAGTGTTTGTATATAAGGCCTTTAGGATGTTAATAAACTTCTCAGGCACACTCTTCTTCAATAGACAATCCCAGAGAACAGTCCTATCCAACGAATCGAAGGCAGCCCTGATGTCAAGAAACACTACGATTGTTGGCCTTTGATAAGTATGGCAGTGTTCTAACATTTGGTGGAGGGTGAAGATGCGATCAATACATCCTCGACCAGAACGAAGCCCAGCCTGCTCCTCGCGAGTCAATCTTTCTCGGGTTTTGAACAACCTACGAAGTATGACGGAAGCCAATAGCTTGGACGCAATCGGAAGTAGACTTATCCCGCGATAGTTGTTACAGGAACGACGTGAACCCTTTTTAAAGATAGGGACAGCTACCGACTCATCCTATGACGTTAGTACACTCTCTAGCTCCCAGACCTTTGTAAACAACACAGTCAGTTCCTTAGTCAGAAAGTCACCACCATGTTTAAAAAGAGCCGGAGGTAAGTCATCTAAACCAGGTGATTTGTAGCGCTTCAAGAGTTGGAGTTCCTTGCGGACTTCTGCCTCATTTGATGGACCAGTCGTCACCAGCCACAGAGGGTCAAACTTACGGTCACCTGGAGTAGACCGATGGGCTTCAATGAGTTGTAAGGAACCAGAAGAAACCCAGTGCTTATAAGCGGGACGTTTCGCGAACCCACAACTGACTGTATCCGCCGTTTTCATGGCGTCGTGCAATTGCAACCAATGCTCATCTATACTTTTCGGTGGAATGGTAGCTAGCCTAGAAACTAGCTCGGTTCGATACTTCCTTCCAACAGAAGTTGCAACCAGCTTGCTAACATCAATCCGTTGGTGGCGGTCACTTCGTTGGCCACTGAAAAGTAAGGTAAGATTGGCGCAGACCAAGGCATGATCAGAGTCCAGATAGGTACTCCAAAAGGAGCGGCAGTCTCGTACACAACCACGCCAGTGGTAGCTGATCGCGATATGATCAATCTGAGTCCAGGCTTGATATGCAGAGGGAGGAGGCCAGGTGGCACATCGGCGATGACTTTGCCGAAGGTTAGTGCTAGCCAGAAACAGGTTGTGGTCTGTGCACAGTTGCAGTAGACGGTCCCCGTTATCTGTCCTGTGACCAACAAGTCCCCATCGGCCACCTAAACGACTCTCTTCTGTGCCTAGACGCCCAACCTGAGCATTCAAGTCTCCGGCTAGTACTACAATATCTGTCGAACGCACTTTCTGGAGAAGAACAGAAAATTGGTGATAGAATTCATCCTTGATTGTATCCGGGCTACAATCTGTCGGGGCATAGGCGGAGATGACGAAAAGACACCGTTTCTCACGCCGATTTCTTCTCACTTTGATGGAACTCTCTAATCTAACAGCACATAACCAACGGTTAATGGGGATCCAATCGATTAGTGCTGCCTCAGCTCTAGCGCTTAGTGCGACACCAACGCCTGCAAGACCAGACGAAGATGCCACAGGGTCCCCGGATAAGCGCACGTAAAACAAGCTTTTCGAAGCGACAGATGTAGAGCGAATTTGTAGTACTTCACCAGAGTCTTGAATACGGGTCTCGGATAAACAGCAAACATCGATATTAAGACTTTCTAAAGACATAGCCAGCCCTATCTGTTGTCCAACCTGCATAAGTGTGCGAACGTTGAAGACAGCCAGTTTGAGTGGTGGTTTCAGAAAAACTGCTTCAATACTCATATTCGGTGGTAACATACAATTTTCAACCGGACAGTGACTCGAGAACGTTTAGATAGAGTCGAATTTCCACCATAGACGAGCTGCTGCATAAGTCGAAAAAATAAGTATAGACAGAGTAGGAATAAAAGAGGGTGAATAATGACGTAGTAAATAATAATAATAATAATGATAATTTGAATCACTTGATTATTAGTCGAAGCGAGAAAATTAGTTTCCATAAATATAGACAGTTCATCATTTGTGTGTGGGCTGTGATACTGCCCGGCTGCCCAGACCGAAGCAGGTAGTTTTCTTAGGGGGGCCACACCCCGAGCCTTTGACCTACAGGTCTAACCCACAAAGCAGCGAAGCATCGTAAGGAGATGCAGTCCCATGGTAGTCGGTGACCAAGAAATTGGTTCATACGCCATTTGTTCCCGCAGGATACTTGAGCCCATGTGCACCATTGATTTGGTTTGGGATCCGGTTAAAGCGCCGAACATTCGCCTTTCGTCCTCTCATTTTCGTAAACAACACCCCCGCCACGAGAAGGCAGTGAGAAGGACTTCCCTGGCAGAGGCTGTACACGCGTGGTCGTGTGAGAGTATTTCAAGAGGGAGGGCGAACCCAACCCGCTCTCGGCCATACCAGGGCATTTGGGGGCTTATGGCTTACGATCAGTATGTACCGTCTACATTCGTTATATATTTAGTTCATTTATCCTATGTACAAATGTTGATTCAAGCTAGACCACCATGGAAAACCTAGAAGCACTGGACGGCCGTCTCGTCCTTGTATGAGACTCCTCAGCAGTGGGTATTCTCGATCCCGCGTGCGGGACCCGGACCTTCGGTCTCACGGACGAACACTTAACCTCTAGACCACTGAACCGGCATCCAATGGTGCTAATGTCTAACTTCAACCAATACATGATAATGCGAGAATGTCCACCATTGTCTTCAGTGAGTAACTGCCTCTACAACAGGCACGGTTGAACTCCCGCGAGACCGAAGGTCCTGGGTTCGAGTCCTGCACGGGGAACCGTGGATGTGCACTTCTGAGTCCCATACTAGGACAAAAAGGACGTCCAGTGCTTTCAGGTTTTCCGTGCTGGTCCATCTTTAATCGACCCATTAATTCAACTATTAAAAATTACTACAATATCCACGATCCCCCCATTCTGATAATTGTATATACAATCACTTAATTAAATTTAAAACTAATATGAATAAACAAGTTTGTTATCACAATGTAGATTAATTAGAAATCATTTTGATTTGTATGAAACAAATTTAAATGCTGGAAGATAGTTACAAATATTTTTTTAGTAGAAACTTATTATCAGTAATAAATGAGGTAAGTAGGTTGTTAATGTATGAACATTTTCATAATTTCAAGGAATTATGTGGATCATATGGTTCAATCGCTCTCTATTTGACAACAGTTTTCAATGAAAATACCCTACTAATTGTATAAAACCTCAACAAAGCTCAGTAATTTGAGATTTGATATTAGTGCCGTACCCTGACCTTCTTTAAAACAAAAATTTAGAATTACTGATGCAATTATACTTTGTGAAGTCATGTAAGTAGCGAATGAAGACAGATATAGTGAAATATGCGAAATATATGTTCTGTTGAGCCGCAGCAGAATAAATCGCATTGACTAGTGATGAGTGAATTCGAATTTAAATGCGTAGGATGATAATAGGAAGTCGTGAAATGATATCTGCATCGACGGGTGATATTCGTTGCTGTACTGCAATTGATAATAATCATAAAATTTGAAGTCAGTGGACGTTGTCGTCTGCGTTATGACAGATGCATTGAGTTATCATTAAATATGTATTAGTAGAAGAATGACCAGAGGAACAGATTAGAGACTTTGTAGACGAGGTACGTAGAGTCGTATTCCTTTTTGGTCATGAAGCCTAGAGTGGTTTGTGTGGTTTGAGGGAGATGCGCTCGATCTCGTTTGTTACAAAACCGTACCAAGGCATGACAAAAATACCAATACATATGATTAGTGATGGAGACGTATGAGACTGAATTGGATGTGACGAACAAGAGTGTATCTTTGAGAGGCTAGCTCTAAACTCTATGTTCTGATATACCGAGCGATGGGTATAGAATAGAAATTGCAGTACTCGAATAGCGTTTTTGAGTAATAAGTGATGCAGAATGTAGTTACGCACGTGGAAGAATAGATAAAATGAGCGTAATGGTTACTAATCAGCTAGTCAGAAGCATCCACAGACATAATAGGAGGCGATTTCGAAATGAAAAATGTATGTTGTGATAACATAAATTGCGGACCTCGACTAAGTGAATGAATGTAATATTAGATCAAAATGACATGAAAAAAAATTGGAACGAACTCACTTAAAGCAGGAAAATTTCACGTTTTTGAATAGTAAAATATATCCTAATGAGTTCTCACAAAGTGGAGTGGAATTTTCATAAAATGATAATTTGTTCGGTGAGTAATATGATTGCGAAAATGTCATAATTTAATGACAGCACGAACAAGATTAATAATTCCACATTCGGTCATGATATTGATAATAATGTAATAATAAGCATATAATGATAATTTGAATCGTAATGGGACAATCCGAAAAATGTATCAATGAGGATACTTGACATGAGGACAAAGTATCGACAAGATAATACGACTTGAGCATGTCCATATCGTGCTGCACAGGCTTTGCTGAGTGCGTCGGATTAGAGATTGAGCTGGACCCGTTGAGTGCCTTCGTCGAATGTATCAAGTGCAGAAGTGCCTTCATCGACGTAGCTTGCTGCGTTGCGTTCGTCGTCGGCGGGCTTACCACTTTTGAGACCCGTTGATCTGACTCCAATTTATAGTGTACGAATGTTTGTTATCACCTATTCTCGTTTATCATCGTCGACTTAAATCGCGTTAGCCAATAACCGAATTAAATAAGTCAATTAACGAGAATGGCATTTGAATACATATATTTTGTATATGAAGTGAATGAAACAGAGCCAAGCAAAATGACGCACAGGGAAGATGGCTGGGAAGCCAACTCCATTTTAGTCAAGTGTTATTCCATATTTATAGGCAGACAAAATAAGCTACAGACATACAATGAATCATGTGACATGAAATGTACACTCATACATCTTCACCGACCATTAAATAATGGTTACGATACGCATTTACATTAGAATATAAAAAACCATTGTATCCCAGTCCATTGGGTGATCCGTTTCTTAACGCATTCTACGTTTAGTGCTTCACTTTTGTTCGTTACTCATTGATTCCTAGTGGATTTTCAGTTGAAATAGGTCTATTACTCAAACTATTTTAAACCGGATTTATTCTACCCATGCACTCCAACCAATCGGATGGCCTTTGACTTATTCACACAGTAAATACGTGGTTGTGTGAAGCAATGGCCACAAGTAGTCGCTTTGTGGAATAAAACTTAGAGACAGAGACTCGATTGGTGGAAATAGTCATCTCAATAAAAATTGAGTTCGCAATGTGATCGGTTATAGGTGCAGACTTAAAAGAAAACTAGTAAAGCGGCCAAACAACTGCTTACAACGATAGAATAATCAACACTAAGCCTAAACACACGTTTCCTAACTTAGGTATAACGTACTGTTACCACTAGATGTTAATAATCTTTCGGAGAATAAGATAATTGAACACAATGAGTCATTCATATCCACAGCTTGGAGAGGCCAGGTTTTACAACCACGTGGCGAAACTGCTTTCGCGAAGAGCTCGTAGGCCCGGACTTTTACAGTCTGACCAACAGCAAAACGGCGCCAACGATAGCCGCGATTCCAATAGACCGCCTTAGCTTTCACTGTATATAGATTGACCTCATATGTAGCGTTGCCACCAACATATAAAACTACTCAGATACATGGACCTTTTAACTACTTAGAACGGACCACCACAAATAGTGAGTGTACACAGGCTGGTTATAATAAATCTATAAGCTAACCACAATATTACTTTTAATTTCTTGTGACAGTCTTTAATTTACACGAATGTTAAAAGAAAAGAAGCAATTAAATAATAGAAGTTAGGTATAAAAAGAAAATTTTCTACTTTGAAGAGCATATTATATATATATATATATATATATATATATATATATATATATATATATATCTTGTCGAGTATTCACTGGCCAGAATGCAATGTCCGATTGAAGGCATTATATCCAGAGTCTAAATCAAAAAGCATCTGTCGTACTTCAGCTTCAGATAATTCATCAGACGCTTGCATTTGATCCATTTTGTCTAGCCTAATGAAAGGCAAACAATAAATGGAAACCTATTTTAGAAACCATTTTTTAAGATTTATTCAGCAAACTGTGTACTATGTATTTGAAATTATTTAAGATACTAGCTTTGAGTACAGACAAAAGCCTATACAACCAATCATATATATTTCAGGCCATTTTTACTCTGAATCACAAACATATAGTAAACATGTTTTAAAAGTGTGATATTTCCGTAGCTAAATATACAATGGGTGAAGATTATCAGGAAACCCGATGGGTAAAAAGTTGGAGTGAAGATAATTTTAAACAGTAGGTTTATCCAGATTTGGTTGACAGATCGACTGAATAAATGGGAATGATGAAAGGGACTATGGTCCATTAGTTATTATAATCTATTTTTATTCAGAGTAGATCATGGATTCGAATCCTCTAACAGACAGGAGTAAAAACAGCATCTATGGCTTTTAGACATATGACTTACATTTAACATAACAATGGATGTCAACTATTGTCACTTCCAATTTTTTTCAATCTGCTAAATTAAACTTACCAGGCTTTCACTCTATCTTTACCCTCAAAATCTGCAGGTAGAATACTCAACCGATAAAGGGTTTCATACAATTCTCGAAGATCTGGATGGAGCTGTAAGAAAACTTATTAATATCAGAATATTACTACTTCATCCACTGCGCGAATATCTAGTCGCAGCTTATCCATAATAGTAATAAACAACTAGAACAAAAAACAAAATGGGAATAATACAATGTAAATTTCAGGATAAACGTTAAGAAAACTAAAGCAATAAATATGACACTTCTTAACTGACTATTTAGAGCAAGAAAGATTATTATAAGTAAACATGTTTGAGTATGTAATTCATTTACTGTCCGAATGTTTATGGTAAAATTGAATATCGGAAATAGGAGTGGCTGGTTTAGGCAATTTATATTTTTGTACCCATCAATTCAGCCGCTTTTGTGGAGGAAGTTACATCGCTAGATATTCTAAGGATTTAGTTTACCGTCCTCGCAAACATTTTGCAGTGTGGCTAGGCAAAGGTGCAGTTGAAACGATCACCAGTCCGATTTTAGCGCATCTCTTTTAGACCAATCGAACAACTAGTATGAATCAATCAGTTTCAGTAATTTATCAAGTTAATTATCTGCGAAAATCCGTCAGACTCAAAGTCCTCCAAACGAAAAGCGCAACAGCTATCCAGTTTAAAAACTGGAACTTCGTGTACGAAAGAAATATGTCTAATCGCCCCTTTATATCGGTTAACTTCAGACCCAATAAGTCAAAAGTCATCTTGATTACAGGATGATTTAACCGGACTAATTTACATGTAACTTCCCCCTTTGTATATTCACAGCTTAAATTTACAATATCCAAATATTATTGCTATTATTACTTACACATCTTTTTTTATCGCCATTACTATTATTATTATTATTTTATTATTATTATTTTACTGGGATTATTATCCAAGTCCTTACACAAATTGAATGACTTATGTGGCGTATATCTGTTTGGTACCTCCTTGTACTAATGTTTGTGTTTAAATAAATTAGGGTGAAATTATTAGTAATTTTGTAAACCCATAGAGAAGTTAGTTACTATTTAGCCCACTATAATTCCCTACTAAATTCACGGTAAGTAACCTACGACTAAGCATTTGGTCTGATTGGCAGTTATATTATTTGTTTAACTCTATGTTACCTATATTTATTCTGATCATTTCAACGGACCTATAAACTGATTCGAGTTAACATTGCAAACTAGTTATTTCAACACTAACAATTTTATTTTATTTTACTAACAATCCTCAATCTATGTGTTGCAATTTTAAATGATTTGTTTGCTTTAGACTTGGTTATCCTCCTTGTAAGATTAATTTGAACTTATAATTATAAAATATGAAAATTTATTGGAAAGAAACTCTTAGGTTAGTTCATATAGCCAGATTTCGATAAAAGTGGGAACTTTAAACAATGGAAATAGAAATCAGTAACTACGTATATTGTCATATTAGATTATGAAATAAACAGCCTTATGACACTAGAAGAACTAAAATTTCGATAATCTATATTGATAAGCTGTTCAGTACATAAGCCGGTGATAAAAGATGAAAAAAATCTATATAAGTAGAACCATAAAAAAACAGTATCACATAGTAAGTTATCACAAAAAACATTATTTTCTTCAATTTTTTTACAAAGAACACCAATCAGATTACTTCTTAAGGATAAATCTCAATAAAACACTATTGACATAGTCAATATAAAACCTAACGATAGTTACGTTCCAAACTTATTTACTAATCAAAATTAACTTACGGAAACAGTATCAGCAATACTTTTATTTATATTTTGTTTATCATCCTTGATAGTTATCGGTCTTCCCTCCTTAATACGCTCTAGAGCTGCTGGACAATCCATCTAAAATGTAAATGAAACAAATTCTTGCAATTGACAAACTTTATATTTTCGCATGAAATCCTCTACAGTAGCAAATTCATCTCCTTGAACTTGTTTAAATGCAGCTTTGTACTGGACAAGAAGCTTTGAACAGGCAGCAGTATACCTAAGTTATTAGGAGCATAATAAAAGCCTATTTAACTCAACTCTTTTGATTCCACATAGTCCTTAATATATGCTTTTTGTAAACATTGTATAGTGTTGATAACAGCATAGAGTTCAGCAAGATTGTCATACCTAAAAATTTCTCTACTCCAAGATGGGACTTACTTTTCTCTTTCGCGTGCAGTACGATAAAGTTTTACTTCCTAAATCAGAAATAAAAACAATATGAATACTGACATACTTCATACAATTCGACACGGCCATCCACTAAAAAGGGGAAAAAATAACTTGTTATTTAGCTGCGTCGAAAACACTAAAAACAGATCCTAATCAAATGAAATGGTGAAAATCATGTTTAAAGTGGTGCTTAATTTTAGGTAACTCATGAAATTAGAATGTTATATACTAACCCTCAGGTCAAATGATGTGAGGCTTGTCCCCTGAAAATTTAGCCTGCTTCAGTTTGTGCCTTCCAGCAGCATCCCATCACACACAAATTTGACGATAGCTAACAAAGAAACTGTTCTACTCGCTCTGTTTTACTATCCATTCAAACGATATTTACGATCAATTTATCACACGCAACTTTATTTTCAACTATTTCAACTTTTCCGTTTTATTTAAATGGTATATACATTCACCTACATAAATTTTATCAGGCTCAGAAGTTCATTCTTGTTGGACTTCGTCCCCTCTAATCGGTCTCAAGTCGGTAAATGATCGATCTTTTTAATGTTGTCATCGAATGCAATAACTGATACAGATTTTCTGAAGCCATGCGTCTTATCCTGCCGAAACCAATATTCACACTATTGTAGATCCTGGGCCTCAAAGGAACTGGCGTGTTGGTGTGGAACTACGTCTTATAGCGTGGACGTTATCAATGAACTGCATTTCTGTTAAGTCATGTGCTGCTAATCTAGAAGGTTCAAGACAAGAAAAAAACTACCATGAGAAACCACTTTTATGTAACGCCTGCCTACTCACTGACGGATCGAGCTTCAGACCCAATAAAGAATGAGTTTTGCCAATAATTAGACGGTCCCAATAGGGTACGTTCGTAAAAGGACTTGTCTTTGCAGACAGGATTAAGTCTTTGGATAACAAGTGGGATAACGGGCATCGTCTACTGAAGCTATGTATATATCAGAACCTGTTTTTAGTCAGAACTAACATCTGTTAGAGTCACTGACGATTTGCTATTGGCATTTTTGCTGTGAAGCTTAGGTCTGGACTTAAACTGATCATACTGCAATTAGCACTGGATGGGCTGCATATATGTGGGACTATTTTTTGGAGCACCTATTTAGATTTTGGTCATGTTTATGTGTGTCAAACTTATCTTGCGTCTTCCTGAAAAAACCGCTCGAAACGGATCGATACATACAAAATGAGCCATCTTTCATTGTAACCAAACATCAAAACGATCTAGATTCAAGGCTAGCAACCACCCCATCGACAACTGAAGACGATCACTAACTACACTTCCATGAAAATGGTGAGAAAATTCATCTGTGGTTTGATAAACATTAGGTTACTGTGGGTTCCTTGGAACTTTTGGAGGAACACTAGTCTGCTCTGGTGAATTGTGAGTTCGACAGCAGGAACATACCTCAGAAAGTTTTACGAAACTTGATTAGAGTTTGATTTATCTAGTGGTCATAGTGTGTTAGCAAGTTTCATCCGTTATCTGACAGATATTTCATCATACATTAGCCACAAGCAGAAAGAAGTACGTTCATAATAAAATAACCTGTTAAGTTGATGGTACTCCAATCAGTAACCTCCAAAGACGTGTGGACATCGAGTAGAGCACTCTGAAAAAGTTTAACCGCCTTATTAATCTTAGAACCTTAATCAGTCCGCTTTGTGTTCTTTAGTCCATGAAGGTCGATCCAGGTATCCGTAAAGAACCTCTACTCGTAAAAAGTCACAAGCTACCGACCTAAAACAACAACAACAACCCCTCTTTTCCAAGAAGAAGTGGAAGTCCTGGTCAGAGAACTGACTGAAATGTTTGAAAACAATTGGTGTACAAAGCGTTTTACATCATTCAGGAATAAACATATCGTGATTCCGATCTTGGAAAATGTCACACGTAAGGTATGCGGCAATTGTCAGAGCACAGGTCTGCTTACTGCTTCAAAACTGATGACTTCCACTATACTCCACAGATTGTCCAAGACTCACCAGGTTGTATGGTAAGGAGCAGGTATGAAGCCGTTCGTGTCTCAAGCCACTGAAGTGCACCATCTCTAGAATCTCATCCGGGTAGTTGTGATGGACGAAAGGATGCCAGTCCTATATATTTTCTTGTGCTACGACGCCATGTTACCAACCGGTCACTAATTTGATTTTCTCACAATGTCCAAAATTTAAAAATTAATTTGCAATGTGGAGACATCTGGGATGACATTTATAACATGTTCAAGCCATCGAAGTTAGTATTTCAAGATGGCGATATTGAGTAGTCAACATTAAACCCAAACACACGGTTCCTAACTTCCGTATAACTAACATACTGTTACCACTGGATGATACAAAGTCATCCACATTCCCAGCTTGGAGCGGCCAGGTTTTGCAATCACGTGGCGAAACTGCTCTCGCTAAGACATCGTAGACCCGAACTTGTACAGTCTGGCCAACAGCAAGACGACACTAAAGTTAGCACCAGTCTTCATAGACGGCCAGGAAACAGATCCACAACAACGTATAATTTCCTCAGACCTGATGTCAGACTATCGCTAGTGCTCTTATTCTGTGAATCATACCAACTAATAAACCCTATACGAAGAAACTAGGATACCAATGTATGCTTTACGAAAAGTACTCGGCTTATAAGCCAAAATACTTTTTTGAATTGTTTAGTACGCATCCCGAAGAGGACAACTGTCACTTTATAAACCTCCGAGATGGATGAGTATGATAAAAAGTTCGAAAGTCAGTTACAGTCTCAATACAGCAATAGAGATGGTGGAATTTGAATAAACTCAGGAAGATGATTTGGAAAACGAGGGAATGAGTTTCTTTGATTGGGAAGTGGAGTCATCTAGTCGACAATAGAACAAAATTAACTGCACATTATGAATAAATCCACTTAAAAATCTGAACCTCAAACCTACTTATAGACTTATGAAGTACCGCGCACACTTAACTTGTAATTTCACGAAAATTCAACGTCCAATATCTTCGTCACGAGATGAGAAACGTAAGAAGTAGTTACTGGTTTTCAATAATGATGACTGTCATAATTTACGAGACAGGCATCAGACAAACCTGGTCCAAGAATATGGTAACCTGTAGATGTGTATGTGTTTGTCAAGTTTCCTCTCTAAGCTCTTCACTGATAGGATTGTGGTCCCATCGGCTGGCGTAACATTGCAAATTGGAGTAACTTTTGCTAAAAACGTAAGCGTGTACACAGGTGTTTACCGTTTTATTTGCAATCTTCCAAGGGTTGCTTTGAAGGGCGTGTTGATGATATTCTGTTGATGTGCTTATGTTGGGGTGGCTTAGTGTACTTAATATGTTGTATGTCACTATCAGATCACCTCTTATTTTCCTAAAGCTCAACAAAAACAATCTACTGTTGGATCCTGTCCTCGTGAGACCTATGTTTTAGACCTATCGGTCACTGGGTTGAGCGTCTCTGTACATGGTCTAAACGGTTTGTCTCTCTTTTGAATACAGGGGCACAGAAATATTATGGACTTCGAGGTGGGCCTTTGTGTATATTGTAACCAGTGTTAGGAACTACTCTGGAGTAACTGTACCAAGTTGTCTCCGCATAAAATGGATATCAGCATTTGCTTTAGCTACATCCATCAAGTAGTTTGAGCCGATATTTAAGTTCTCTGTGGTTACAAGCCTGAGATCACGCTTTCAGGGGACATGGAGAGCGGGCTCTCATGAAGAATGTTGTGTGTCAAACGAATCTGAATGTTTACGACATGACATTTAGACAGGTTGTTTTAATCAAGTGCCTAATACCTCTTCCTCTATTATTGTAAGGCGTATTTGGAGCTCAAGTGCATCCTTTCCGTTTTTTTATAGACCTCCGGATCTTTGCATCGTCCACTGGGCCACTTTTATCCAACAGATTGTTAATAAAGATTAAAAATAGAAATGGACACAAGATGTTTCCTTTCCAAACTCCTTGTAGCGACCGAACTGTCAGTATTCGGTTTGAACACAGGACTGACGAACCAAAATGTATTCGGATAGGCCAGGCTACGCTCTTCTGTATAGCTTACCAAGCGTTCTTGAGACACTGTTATTAAATTATGTGAAAACACAAATTGTGTGCTCAATTTAAACGGTTCTAATTTATGAAATAGAACAAATTATATCAAAAATACAAAATACCTCAAACGGTACACCCTGTGCTATACAGTCAGAAGATTCTCTAACGCAGAGTAGCGCGCTAAACAATAAAAGAAACAGTTAATACCAAAGGGTTCGATACCTGAGAATCAATAGAATATTTCCAACAAGACGGGATCAAATATCAATCTGCGGGGATTCCAGCAATCCTCCTAAGCAGACAGTCAAAAGGTTAACAGCCACAAGCTGAACCACGCCGTGACCTTGAGCTTAGTCAAAAACGACCTTACTGTCAATAGTCCGGCAACATGAAATAGAAAATTGGGTAGCAAAAGATAAGTCTTTGATCAAAATCACATGACAAAAGCTCATATGAGGAAGACTGAAGAAAAAAAGGTGTGGTTAAACGAGGTTAAAATATACGACAGGGAGAAGAAACAAGTAGATGACAGTACTGTACAACAAAAAGGCTGCGGAGGGGTTTTCATCGTTCTCTTTCCATTACACACCTGATGTTGAGGCTGTAGTGGCATTGGACAATAGCCACACAATCCACAAAGCTGTGAACACGAGACTACTCAGAAAATAAATATTCAATATTTAACGCCGAGAAATACCTAAAAATGGAGAAGGCGCGAACAATGAATTGAATGGACTGGAGTTGATCGAGTGGCATGGCTCGGCCATGCAGGCGTGGTCTCTATTCATATTAAATATATTGTTCTTTCTCTAACCTAACCTCGTTCTTCATCATGTATTGGTAATTGATACGATACAGTGAGTTGGCGTAGTCGATGGTGTGACTTCCACGTAAGATCTTATAGATTAGGCAGTTATATCATGACGAATCTACAATTTTAGGATTAGGTCTATTGTTAGAGCAGTACTAATATCATAGTAGACCATAATTCTACATTGGTGAGCCCAACTAAAGAAACGCAACCTATTATTATTAATCCTTATTTCCACTTCAACTTTCTCGATCGATTTTATATTTATGTTAACCCTGTATTCTAATAGTCCTCTGATTAATGCTCACATGCATCATTGTAATGTTATATTGATCAGTCCTCATGACAAACTAGCTCAATTGATAATAAAAACTGGTCGTCTATATTAACTAATTAGCTTTGATGGTTTGTTAACAAGCTGTAATAGCATTTACATGCTTCAGCGACATAGTCTTGTTTAAACATCAAGCTCTAGCAAATATGACCTGTAAATAGCGTAAATATACATTGACTAACAATGCGATTAAGGACTAAATAGTTATGTGGATCTAATTCTCAGTGTTCCTTCACTTAACACCTCATCCTGTTTTAAAACGATGCACTATCCTGTAATATCTTTTCTTCTGACCACTGCCTGCCTAATTTCATATTCTCGAGTTCCATTGCCAAACAACGAGGATGACTACTCCAAAAACATACGGTGAGTTTCAGCTATAAGTTTTCTGCAATCATTTTTAGATGGTTCGTTCAATGACAACCATACAATTATCTGGATTCATTCGATTGTTCTGATCCGAGCGAGTGTCAAAAACCTCAACAGCATCAAGCACCCTGGAATTAATTGCCATACTGCATGTTTTATTCTGGATGCTTTTGGATCAATACTACTCACGAATGGCGTTATATATGTCGTCCACTGAATAATCTAATTTTCAAAAATAACCCAGGCGAGTTCAACTATTTTACTTAATGATTTTTTTTACTTAACATGTATATGTTTTCCGGTTCCTTTTGCTATATATTTGTAAGTGTCCCTAGGCTAAATGCAGTAACTCCTTATGGAATGTTTATAACGCATCATATTCCTGCCTGAAGTTTCACAAGCAGTCTAAACTTTAAAACTATTTTCTGGTCATGTTCATTATTTTTAAATCGTCATATACGTCAACAACCTGCATGTTAACCTGGCCCATACATACGTTGCACTATATCTCCATGTCTTCTAAATTTAGAAATCATCTGAATCGCCTTTAACATTTATCAATAAACCCATCATAGTCGTTGTTGCTAATCGTATTTGGGTTTATGGATTGGTTTGTCATATTAGCAGCCTAAAATGCGAACATAGTTTAGATAATAAGATTAAAAAGTTAGGTACTGTCAACTGCACTAGTAAAATAACCAAATCCCCAGGTAGCTGTTGACTAAACAAACGTTTAAAATCAAAACTCCGTAGCCTACTAAAATTAACACTAAACGAATATTTCTGAATTGAAATTTATAATTAAATTAGGCGTCCCGGATTCTTTAACGTTATAAGTTTCTGATGATTTCGAATCACCTAAAGCAACAATACCTATTTTTCCACTGACTAATCCTTAATCAACACTATAACTAGTTAAATTTAATAGTTTCAGGATATCGTCATAAAGCATTGTCATAACTTGACAATCACGTAATATGATTGATAATATTAATGAAACTATTAACATAACCGGTCTTCAAATCGACTTATAATTATCACTAGTGTTGTTTTTCTTTTATCTTCATTCACTACAGATGATTACAGTATGTTTCTCTATCAGTTGCTCATTCAGTAAAAATCTCAAAACCTTGTCAGTCTAATTGATGGTTTAGCGACACAATCATGCATGCAAATAATCAGTATAAGCAGTCGAGCAAATCTCCTGTAAACTGAAAACATCAATGTCGAATTTACCCCAACACTGACTAAGGTTCAAGCCATTATCATAGACATGAGTTGGGAGTGTACTCCCCTTGGTTACAACTTATGTTCTCCCTGTTAATCACATGAGCATCACTCACTACTAATCATCTTGTAAAAACTTATTTAGCTAAATACATCTTGCAGCACCACATCACTTCGTAATATGACACAGGCCTAACTGATTTTAATAGCCTATAACCACTATATCTCAATTTAATCGTATTTCGCCTTATGATAAACTGCATACTTGCAACTAACTTGTATGCCCAATCAGCCAGCAAGTATAAATACAAGTAAATAGTCTGCAGATCAGAACATTGAGTCCAGAGCATGTCTCTTACGAATACACTCATGTTTAGCGATTTGTTCCTAGCTATCTGTCCAAAATTCATATAATTATCACTCACGTATTTGAATTTTATTTTGGTAACCATTCATGTGTATTAGTAGTATTACTAAATTCTATCACGGTCAAGTAAAAATGAGGTTGAGAAAATCTCCCCGTAACTAAATAAACCGTATCAAACTAACTGGAACACTAGTTGGAATTCTGTTCCATGGTAATACTTTTGTTCTTTCAGTTAGCCTACTAATACAGATGCAATTGGAAATCACATATGGACGGGTTACCGGCATAATTGTTAATTGGTTTCATAATTTAAACCAAAACTAATACCAATATTAACATTTCTACAATATTCATTACTTTAATATTTCTAAACACAAAATACTTACTACCTATATGTCAAGTTATTAACCAACGGCTATTAACACGCATCGTTATAATATTATTATTATAATCCCATTTTTTATAGCTCAAATAATCTTCACCCAAATTGTCATTTTAAGTGTGTTAAGCATGAAGGCAGATTTTTTTTAAATATTATTACATAAATTTCCCGACCAGATGCTGCCGCCTTCTTTTTGATTTATCTTTCAGCTTACCAATACCCGGAGGATTCTTATTATCCTTGGCAACCTCCGGCGCGCGACGATCCCATCCAATTTGGTATCGAACCAACATCACGTTGATTCTGGTGGGAGAGTAGTGTAGTGGCATTGGACAATAGCCACACAATCCACAAAGCTGTGAACACGAGACTACTCAGAAAATAAATATTCAATATTTAACGCCGAGAAATACCTAAAAATGGAGAAGGCGCGAACAATGAATTGAATGGACTGGAGTTGATCGAGTGGCATGGCTCGGCCATGCAGGCGTGGTCTCTATTCATATTAAATATATTGTTCTTTCTCTAACCTAACCTCGTTCTTCATCATGTATTGGTAATTGATACGATACAGTGAGTTGGCGTAGTCGATGGTGTGACTTCCACGTAAGATCTTATAGATTAGGCAGTTATATCATGACGAATCTACAATTTTAGGATTAGGTCTATTGTTAGAGCAGTACTAATATCATAGTAGACCATAATTCTACAAGGCCATCCAACTTGCATGCACTCTATTAACCTGGGTACTAAATATCGTGTTCTCCACTAATTTTTGGGGCCGTTATAAAATTGGGTCAGTGAGAGGTTCATGAGATATTGTGCCAAAAGTCTTTTGTGAAATCGAGGAATATTACATGAACTTGTTTCTTTTGATCCCAGCGGGTCATCCAATCTCTTCATGCAACGAGAACATTTGATACACATGGCCTGTCTTTTCTGACAATCTATCTCGAACACCTCATTTCGTTAATGAGTTTATTTAGATAATTTTGTCGTAAACTTAAAGGCTTTATCAGGCCAAAACAACAGATCAGTCTGTCATAACTATTCTTTATTCGAGTTGTAGAACCCAAATACTAACTTAATAAATATTAAGCCATGTCTTCTATTTTCAGAATCGTCTACGTTGGTCTCGTCCCCCAATGAAATTCGTTTAAAGAGTTGACCGCGAAGGCATAAAAGCTTTTGATTTCCTGCGACTTTCAGCCTTTAGTGGTTTTAGGTTTAACCTGAGATACGTTTTCGTCCGAAGAGACGTAAAGTTCAGCACATGTGACAACCTGGAAGAGTAAAGAACTGACGAAAGAGTGGCCTGATGACTCAGTGATCACATATAACCCATGAATATTCAACAAGGCAAGCAACCGAAAATGATTTGCATTTAATCAGTACTAAATTTAGCACCATCTGCCTCGAGAAACTGCTCCATTCTGTAGTTGTTATTGTTGCATAATACACCAAATCACATACTCGGAAACATAGGACATGTGGCAGTTGCGGTGACGAAGGTTAAAGGCAAAGTTCCAACGGTGTTTCTAAGGGTTTGCTCAGACGTTACCTTTATTCACTTGCCTCTTCTTAAATAGTATTTTTTCGCTATCTGTTTCCCTAATCTCCGAAGCATAATGCAGCATTTGCGTCTCAAGTAGTTCTTACTTCGTAACAACAAAGAAGACAAGTTTGAGTCCTATGATAGGGGTTAGTATGGAATTCAAAGTAGACATCTCGGACTAAACGCTTCATGACCCAAGGATCGGTGGTGGAAAACATATTCCGAGAAAGTAATCAGAGTATTAACCGAACAGATAAAGCAAGCATTTCATTGAAGAACCAGTAACTCATTTTGATCTAATATCCCCTCTCTAGTCTCAGAAGACAACAACTGGAAATCAAGAACTAAAGTTAGCTTCCAAGAAGAACTTCGAATATATCGTGTACTGGGAGAGTAGGATATAACGGCAACTGTCCCACTGCATGTAATTCATTAGTTGCAACAAACCCCGCCTCATCAGTAAGAAAGGTTTGTGACGGATAGTCTCACCGGCTTTAGGAAACTGATTCGACCATGTACTATTACGGGTTCATAGTTAACCGTTCATGCCCGTGGTTTGGGTACTTGTGTCGTGTAAATCTCTTGGTGCACAAGCAAAAAAAGCACAGGTTTGTCATTTATAACTTAACTCACCAGATATCCCCTCCTTACACAGGATCCACAAGGAATAAGAAAAACGTGACCACAAAAGTTACTCCCAAAATATCGCTCTCAATCCATGCATGCTGGTTGAATGAATAACCCTCTGCCATGTCCATTAACCACGAACAACGGAATGTAATATCATGTGGCTGTTGTCTCAGTGTCGGAAATAAACCTATTGTAAATTCGAACGAGTTTCAACAAATAAATGCTTCTAGCTTGGTACCGGTTGTAACAGAGTGAATGGGTTGAAAATCTACCCAGGGTCTGGTTCCGCATTGTTTCTATCACTTGAAATGCGGTGCTTCTTCGTTTAGAGGGGCAGGTATCAACAATATGTACTGAACCCACCAGATAAGCGATTCACAATGTCCCGGAACTAACAAATTGCAATCCAGGTGAAACATATTTGGTTCATGTACTGCAGTAGCGACAGCCTTCACATCACTCAAGAGTATAAAAAACAACAGCTGTTCTTTTTCATCAGATCCTTTACAGCGCACAACGTTTAGCAGTTCCTCATTCATATCTGTCAAGCTCTGAAACGTTTTTATTCGTCTCGGACACCAGGTCATAGTTCTGACAGATATCATGGATAGTGAAGTGAGCATTCAAGGCATGAAACTTTAGACATTATGCGATACATAAAGAAAGATAAGTGTTGGTGATATGTGTCGGCTGCCACCTTAGAGCCATAATTTCTACTAACACTAGGGTTCCCAAACTGTGGGTGTTCCGATGGTAATAGTTCAAATAATAACATAACTGAGCATATATCCTGGGAAATACATCTTCCTCAAATTGAGTGTAAGTATGGTGAGCAAAAACTTCAGATGATTACTCTAATATCACCCCGTGGGGTCTGATAATGTACTCTTTGCCGCAGATTTTAATATTTCATTCCTAAGTCTGAGAAGGAAAATTTGGTGACCATTAACAATTACTGAATAGCCAAATGACTATCAACTTCACAAGAATTAGGGAGGCCGAATGACCAGATGTTACAAAATGAGCTCTACCAAAGACACGGAACTGTACCGTAACATCAAGAAGCTTCCATCCGAAATCCCGCCCGTCAAAGTTACTGCACCCCACTCGGTTATCACCCTCAAGAGGAGAATAGGTTTGAGGACATTGTTAAATGTCATGGAAATACTAAAATCCACACTGAATGGTTCAAATGGTTCAAATGGTTGTGGACGGAATAGAAGAAGCTTTCGCTTAACAGGCTTCCGTGTCTAGTAGCAGGGGATCATCAAATCCTCCAGATAGGAACCTATGAATGTTAACAATAAAAGAGGAAAAGAAATTAGTAAATCATAGTGTGATACTATCCTTAGTCCTTAAGAATAGATCAAGTTGCCTCTTAAAGGACTCCTGGGAAGTCGCTTGGACTAGCTCGGCCGGCAGCGAATTCCAGCATTTGACAACTCTTAAGGAGTAGAAGTTGTGCCTACAGTTCGTTCTGCTATGTTGTGTCTCCAGTTTTTGGGTGTTACCTCTTAGGTTAGTGTTGGAACTAAGCTTAAGTAGGTGTTTGAGAGAATGTCCAGAAGTGTTAAGGATACTATAAGCCATCAGAAGGTCACCTCCAAGACGTCTATACTCTAATGGGTAAAGGTCTAGTGAATGGAGGCGCTCTTCGTAAGGTCTGAATTTGAGTCCTCGAATTGATTTCGTGGCTCGCCGTTGGATACGCTCCAGGGTGTCCTTGTCCTTTTGGAGTGAGGGGGAAGTACTATGTTTCGTACTCTAAATGGGGATGGATAAAACTATTGAAGATTATATGGAAAGTTCTTCCGTCAAACTGGCCAAAAATGCGCTTCAATGTTACTAGTGCAAGGTTTGCTCGGAAGGCATCATTGTCACAGTTAGCGTAAGACTTTAAATCGTAGGGCACCAAGGCTCCTAAATCTTTTTCGACTTGGGATACTATTAGAGAGGAGTTACCTAAGTTGTAACTGTAGTCTGCGACATGTCGAAGATGGACTACTTTACACTTTGAAGTGTTAAAGGTAAGTCCATTATCGTCTGCCCAACTTTGAAGCCGAGTCAGATTCTCCTGAAGTGCCTGTATATCGTCTTGATTGCGTATCTCTCTCCAAAGTTTTACGTCGTCGGCAAAAATTAATAAGTCTGACGTTACCTGTTGAGGAAGATCATTTATGTAGATCAAGAAGAGAAGAGGTCTTAGTGCTGAGCCCTGGGGGACCCCACTAGGACATTCCATAGCCTGAGATAAAGTGAAATTAACACTGACCTTAAAATGTCGATTTTTCAGGTATGAAGTGAGCCAATCGATTAGAGGTGGTCTGATACCCAATCGTTTGAGCTTATTGATAAGACATGTATGGTTAAACTTATCAAAAGCTTTTGAGAAATCTAGGTAGATGATATCAACTTTCCTCTTGAGATCGAGGATGTTTGTCCATCTGTCTGCCGCAGTCAGCAGGTTGGTAATACAAGAGTAACCCTTCCTGAAACCATGCTGTTGGGGTGAGAAGAAATTTAAGGACAGTAAATAGTCATTTATACCATCTCATATCAGGGACTCCATGATTTTTGAAGGTATGGAGAGAAGAGCCACCGATCGGTAACTTGAAGGTTCGCTGAGTCGACCTCCTTTGAAAATTGGTATGATTGAGCCGGTTTCCAATTTTCCGGTAGTTTTCCTAGACTTAGCGAGTGTGAGAACATCACGCTAAGCGACGTTGCCAAGATTGAGGCTGCTTCCCTCAGTATGGCGGAATGGACCATGTCCGGGCCAGGAGAAGTGTCTAATCTTAAGTGCTGCAGATTCCGGAACAGCGCTTAGGTTCATTTCGGAAAGTTCTGTGGAATTGCAAATGAAATTGTCATCAGTAAAGTTAATGTCGGTCGGTTGAAATGTCTGGGAGTACTGTTCAGCCAGAAGGCCAGCGGCGTCGCCATCGTTGTTGGTCGGGCCGTTAAGACCTACCAGTTGGGAAACTCCAGTTTTGGCTTGACGAAAAGAAACTGCATAACGAAATAAGCTTTTAGGATTAGAGGCAAATTTGTCCATAAGCTTTATCTGGTACTGAAGCCCATCTTCTCTTATAGCCTTCATGCATATGTTCCTGATATGTATATATTGCCTGTACGCTCCGTCGTTGTCAGTTCGTTTGTATTCTGCCCAACAGTGCCTTTTGCGGCTAAGCAGGCGAAGGGTACGGTTCTTGATTACTGTAGGTGGCTTGCAGCTTTTGGGAACCGTTTGAGGAACTAAATGGTTTGTAGCACGTAAGAGTGTGTGCAGTAAGAAGTCCCAATGACCGTCCATATCGAGTTGGGGGTGAACATCCCAAACCACCTGTTGTAGATAGTCGTGTACAGCTGGTTTATTCAACCGTTTAAAATTCCAACGCAAGTTATTGGTGGGGTATCTTAGCTTAGTTTTGCTGACGAAACTAAAGGCTATGACGGCATGATCGCTTTTCCCCAGGGGAGCCAGGATTGAAGGGTTGTCAACTAGAAATTCTTCGTTTGTGAATACACAGTCTAAGCGCGATGGTGTCTCACTGTTTCTTCAACGAGTTGCTGACCTCACATTTTCGTACAATCCCAAGTCATCGGTGAGGTTGAAGAACCGAGCTTCAATTGAGCTGTCGCCTCCAGTATACGTGTGTTCCGCGAAGTTGACTCTAGGGAGATTAAAGTCCCCTAGAATCAGGATGTATGTGAAACCGAGACGAGTAGAGCGGGATAGTCCTTCCAGCATACGACTATCGTACTCGATGTCAGCAGTTGGCTTCCTGTAAATGACTCCGGCTAGACACCTCGAAGTACTAGACAATCTTACAGAGCACCATATAGATTCCTCAAGATTGTTAAACTTGAGGTTATGAACTTGATGCACCTTCAAGCAAGAACGTATGTAAACAGTTACTCCGCCCCCAAATCCTAAATTTCTGTCATTGCGGAACAAAGACATCCCAGGTAATACTAACTCATGGTCCGAGAACTGAGAAGATATCCAGGTTTCAGATATTCCTATCAGATGTGCCTTATTAGCATTGCTAAGTTCACGTAGTTCATCCAATTTGTTTGGTAGACTTGCGGCGTTCATATATGAGCAGTTTATGCTTTCAATTTGAAACGCGTGAGGTTCTTCCTGTTTGTCTGTATGAGCCTTACGTGAATGGACAGGTAGCCCACCTATATGAGGTTTGCCGAGGTGGTAGGCCCTGTCCTTTACATGTATTTTTTACCGTCTAGACAGCCCACAAGTGAAATGATCAGCTCCAACTTGCCTTTGTGTTTGGTCCTAGCTTCGTATGGCTTATCCGGGTGCATGTGGATTCCAGGTGGCAGTCGACGTCTGTTGGCACGAAATGCTTCCAGAGTTGCAGCCGCCAAATGGGAAGATGGGAAGGTAATCTTCATTAGACAGGGTCTAGAATCACCATCCTTCTTGGCTTG